GAGCACGGCGCGGGAGCCGCTGAAGGCGTCCATGGGCGCCAGGCCGCCGTCGGAGCGCATGAACAGCACCTGCACGTCCTGGGGAGGGGCAGGAGCGGCAGTGAGCGCTGACCAGGCTCGGGTGCCGGCCCGGCGGGGGGCGGGCGGCCGGGCCTCACCTTCAGCTGGCCCTGGAAGCCCCGGCGGAAGCCTTGCACGTAGCGCTGGATGGCAGGCGTGAGGTAGGCGTCGGCGCAGGCCGTGTGTCCCCGGGGAACAATGCGCACCATCGGCATGGCCTCCGAGGACAGCGACACGTGCAGGAAGCCCAGCTCCCGGGCCAGCGTGCCCACCTGCTGCTCGTGCTGGGCCCACCTGCGGCCAGAACCCAGGGGCCTGTGCCTGCCACCAGGGCCCAGCCACCCCACTCCCCATCCCAGGCCGCGGCCCACAACCCTCGCTCACGTGTAGGAGTGCATGAGCACCACCGCCAGACTGCGGATGCCACGCGCCAGGAGCCCCTCCAGCTTCCCGCGCAGGGCCCCCAGGTCCACAGGCTGCTGCACCTCCAGCAGGTCCCCTGTGCGGCCTGCAGAAGCCCACGGCCGCCAGTCAGCGGCGGCGGGGGCCCGCCCTTCCACCCCACGGCCCGCACCTGCCGCAGCAGCAAGCACACCTTTGACAGGTGCTCCGGCGCCCGGCTCTCCGCGGTAGAGCACCACACGCTCGTCCACCTCCAGGACCTCCTCGTACAGCACCTCGGGCATGGGCACGGCCTGGGGGCCACCAGAAATCAGGGCAGCACCAGGTCTGAGGGCCCTGCGGAGGCCCTGCCTGGCGGGGCCTGGGGGGGCGGCCCAGGGAACTCGGCTTGATCGGCAGTCCCAGCAAAGTCCATCCAGGTGTGGTTCTCCGCACCCACCCCCAGGTATTTGAATGCAGCCAAGTGCCCGCCCCCTCGGGACAGCACCTTCCGGGAATCCCGCAGTGGGGGCGGGGAGCAGGGCTGGCTCAGGTCTAGGACAGCAAGTTGTAGCAGGCAGTAGCAGGACACCACGTGCCAGGGAGGCAGAGCCGGGGGCCCAGGACACCCCCAGGGAGGTGTGAGCCGGCACAGGGGGCTCACCAGGTCGAACAGGTCCTCACGGGCCTGGGTGCCGATGTGCAGCAGGTCTTTGAAGCCACGTGTCACCAGCAGTGCCACCCGCTCCCCTCGCCGCTCCAGCAGCGCGTTGGTGGCCACTGTGGTGCCCATGCGGATGCTGGCAATGCGGCTGGTGTCCAGCGGCCGGTCCCGGGGCAGCAGCACGCCTCCCTCCTGGGGACCGCTCGGTGAGCACGAGGCCCCTGGCCGCAGGCGCCCACCCATCCCGCAGGCTGCGCCGGCGCACCTGCTCCAGGATCCTGCGGATGCCCTCGGTCGGGGCGTCTGCGTAGTTGGCAGGGTCCTCCGAGAGCAGCTTCAAGACCCGCACGTGCCCGCCTGGACACTGGGCAAAGACGTCCGTGAAGGTGCCTCCGCGGTCGATGGCGAAGTGGAAGCGGCCCTCCGGGGTACCCATGGTGGTGGGGCTGCAGTCCAGCAGGGGCTCTTCCACCGGCAGCCCTGGGTGAACTGGACAGGGCGGCAGGTGGGTGGGCAGGTCTGGGGGTCCGCCACAGGAACGGGAAACGGGGGTGGGCAGGAACGGGAAAGGAGGGGTAGGAACGCCAGTTAGGGAGGGGCCCTGGCGGAGGAGGGCCGTCCTGGAGGGCAGTGTGCGCCACAGCCAGAGCTGGACAGGCCGGTCAGCAGGGGGCAGAAGGCTCCCAGCCCCGTGGGTTGGGGTAGAAGCCAGGGTCTGGGACAGGCCTGCCAGGGGTGGAGGTGGAGGTGGAGGCGCCGCTGCAGGCCTCGGCCTGGGACCTGGGAGGTCGGAGTTCTCTTGGCACGAAGCAGCCTGGGGTCAGCGTGGGCAGATGGGGGGTGGGGGTCCCACTTCCAGGCCGAGGCCTTGCGGGGCGCCGGGACTGGGCAGGCCCGAGGCCGGGAGGCGGTGAGGAGCCGGCCCAGCGGGCAGCGGGGAGGTGGCTGCGGGGAGCGGAGAGGACGGCGCAGGGCCCACCTGCCTGGTCGGCGCCGGGTCGCTCGCAGACTGCACGGGCTGCGCTCCCCGCCGGCCCTGCCCGCTCCAGTCCCCACCCCGGGGAGGGGCCTGCGGGGCCCGCCCCCAGCACGGCGGGGCCTGGCGCGCCCCACCCCCGCGGCCGCGGCAGGCCCGGCCGGTCCCGGGCGCCTCCCGCCTCGCGCCCAGCCACCCGAGGGCTGCCGGGCCGGGCGGCCGCGCCAGGCGAGGGGCGGGGCCGGCGCGGGGAACTCGCCGCTGACCGCCCCGCGGCCCGCCCGGGGTCACCTTGGCTCTGCAGGCCGCCGGGGCCTTGCGCCGAGCCAGCGCCCTCCGCTCCCGCTCCCGCTCCTCCCGCCCTGGGGCACCGCGGGCTGGTTGCCGTCCAGAGGGCGGCCCAGACGCGCTGGGACGGGCAGAGGGCGCGTCTGGCCATGGGGCGCGCGCTGGAGAAGCCCCGCACCCGCCACGCGCGGAGGCCCGTCCCGCCCACCCCACGGTCAACCTCCCCGTGCACACACCCGTGGCTGACGCCCCCGCACCGGGCCCTGTGACGATGACCGGGCCTGTGGCCGCCCCGGCCTGGAAACCCGGCTTCCAGAGCCGCGGGGGACTGCAGAGGCCAGGGCTGGCGGCCGTTCAGTTCCTTCTCGAAGCTACTCCGCGGGGTTCCTGGCCCAGGAAGGCAGGATCCTCCCCCCTCCTGAGTTCCAGCTGACCCCTGCACTGGACGCTGGCCAGGCCCGCAGTTGGAGACTTGACATTGAAGGAAGCCTGGCTCTGGGCCGGCTGGAGTGTGGGGGTGGGGCCATCTGCAGGCCGGATCCAGGGTGGACTTCCCCAGCCGGGAGCGCTGCCTCCTGCTGGCCTGGGGGAGGTGGCCCCCCACGGACTGACCCAGTGTCCCAGCCAGAGAGCAGCCAGGCAGGGACCCCACACCCTGGCCCCACTAGAATGAGCTCTGCTGGCCCTGGAAGCCTGCCTGGGCCTGGGAGGCGGCACAGGTGGGCTGACTGCACCTGGACTGCAGGCTCTGGGCTGTACCCAGGCCACAACAGGGCACCCTCCCGTGTGACGTGACAGTGATGGAAGGAGACATGGTGTAGGAGGAACCGGACCCAGTGCCTGACCCAGGTCACCACAAGAACAGACGCAGAGCGGAGTCACCAAGTCAGCAGTGCCAGGCTCAGAGGCACCCGACCGACCGCGTGCCCTCTGTCCATGGTCCCATGGCCTCCTCTGCCAGCCCAGACTCTCGGCCCTCAGTAAGCCAGGCATAGTGGACAACAGCTCCCCGGCAGACAGGGGCAGGCACCCAGGGCCCTGTCCCCTGTGGATGGGCTGCTGGCCCTTGTCCAGATGACCATGTGCCCGCTGGGGTGCTGTCCCCAGGCCACTAGGCTGCCACTGCCTTCCCCGTCCCTGGTGGCCAGCCTGGGCCTGAACCCAGCACACCATAGCTCGGATGCAGGAGCCCCACTGCTACCTGCTGTGAGCGGTGTGTGGGAAGGCCCTGCCCACAGGCCCCAGGGGCCCACTCACTCCCCAGCGCTCCTGGGCGACATTCTGCCTCAGCCCAGCCCCAACCCCCTACCCGCACCGCCCCAGCTGCCTGCCTGGGCCCTGACCGCCCCCCCCCCAGGGCCCACGGGCATCACCGTCCACCCCGGCTCCGTGTGCACCCCAGAGGCTGGTGCCTGCCGACTCACAGGGTCGTCCTCGCCAGGACCTGTCCCTGAGGGATGCACTCCCAGCCTCCCGGGCCCTCTGCACTGACACGGAGCGGAGCTGACCCATGCGGACTTGGTGCAGAGGACCTACAGTCCCGCCCTTGGAAACAGCCAGAATCCTGCTCCCTTCAAATCCAGCCCTGGGTGTGGCGTGTTCCAGCAGTCCCTGTTGCAGCCACACAGCCCCTCAGCCTCACCTGCCCACCGGAGTCTCCCCTTGGCTCAGAGTGGCCAAACACTTCCCAAACCGTGGCGCCCCGGGCCACCTCCCACCGTGCCGGTTCCAGGGCCAGACCTGTGCGCTGGCCACACACCCCTCCCTCGCAGACCTCAAGCCTGGACCCCGAATGACTGAGCCCAAGCATTTGGGCTCCCTCACACCCTCCAAACATCAGCTCCTTCTGCCCAGGAGTGGAGGCTGGCCCAGTCAGCCCCGGGGAGGCCCCAGGGCACAGGGCAGGGACAGGGCCCCCCGGGCCCTCTGCCCTCCACTTTAGAACGCTGGCCTCATGGCTGCCGCCCAGGGCCTCTGCACACTGTCCCCTCGGCCTGGAAAGCCGCATCTTAGCCTCACGGCGCCTCCCTCGGCCCCCGCGCTGCTGGGGTGTCACTTTCTCAGGGACGTCACTTCCTCCCTCCCGAAGGCATCCCCAGAGCCCCTGGCCTGACCTTGCTTCCCGCTCCACGTGGGCACAGCTCCACGGGCCAGGGGCTCCGGCCTGACTTCGCGCGGAGCAAGGGGAGGGCTCACCTCTGTCGGCATCCTTGAACTTGATGGTCCTGCGCCTGGGCACGCGGGGGCTGGTGGCCACCTCCGCCAGGAAGCCCGAGCTGCAGAAGCCCAGGCTGCTGCCCCGGCTCCTGAGCACCAGCTTCAGCTCGTGGTTCTCCTGGAGGAGCTGCACCAGCCGCCGCAGCTCCTCGTTCTCCTGCGCCAGCCGCTGGATCTCCTGACGCAGGCCCTCATAGCTGCTCAGGAGGGACATGCCCGGCGGCAGGGGCGGCAGCTGCCGGCAGCTGCGGGCTGTGCAGGGGCCCAGCCCTCGCCTTTGTGAGGTCAGCGGCCGCCCCAGCCCCCACGCGTCAGCTGCATTCCGAGGCCCCAGGCCCAGGCTCCGGCGAGCCGCCACCCTGGATGGGCTTCACCTGGGGGCCGCACAGCCAGGGTTGCCCACACCCGGCCCCGCCTCCGGGCCCCTCTGGGAAGCCCCCTTCTGGAAGCTTCTGTGTCCCAGCCCAGGCCGGATGCACTGTAGGGGCAGGGAGAAGGGACCGGCATCCCCACATGCCCACCCGGAATCCTGCAGCCTCTCGTGCTGGGACACGGATCTAGGCGGCTGGCCATGACGTCTGTGCAGCCACGGCGTCCCGAAGGCTCGGGGATGGAGGACACGTGAGGTGCTGTGACGCAGGAGCTGGACAGTGGTGACCTACGGGTAAGGGATCCACAAGCTCCACCACGCCACGCGGGCCCCGCACGGCCGGCGGGAACAGGAGCCGAGGTGCCACGTGGCTCGAGGGCGGCACCTGGCATGTGCCTCCAGCGCAGGGGCAGGGCAGGCCTGTCCGAGGCAGAACCCCGTGCCGTGGCAGGGGCGCCTCCCCAAGGTGGCAGTGGGTTTGCCTTTGGATCCCATAGAGGATGTTGTCTGATGGGGCCCGGGGGCTGGCAGCCGCCTCCACCAGGAAGCCCAGGCTGCCGCCCGGTTCCACCGTGACTTTACAGATCTGCTGACAGTGTAATGCCGCACCGCGGGTGCTTTTTAAAGACGAGGTTTATTTTGGCTCAGGATTCTGGAGGCCCAAGGTTGAGGGGCTCCATCTGGTGATGCCTTATTTATTTATTTGAGAGGCAGAGTTACAGAGAGAGAGGTCGTTCTTCCACTGGTTCAGTCTCCAGATGGCCACAATGGCTGGACCTGGGCAGATCCAAAGCTGGGAGCCAGGAGCTTCTTCCAGGTCTCCCACACGGGTGCTGGGACCCAAGCACTTGGGCCATCCTCCACTGCTTTCCCAGACCATAGCAGAGAGCAGCTGGGACTGGAACTGGTGCTCATATGGGATGCCGGCACTGCAGGCTGAGTTGTAACCTGCTACACCACAGCTCTGGCCCCTGGTGACGCCTTTCTTGCTGGTAGAGTCCTGAGGTGGTACCGGACATCCATGGTGAGAGCCAGGGAGCACGTGGGTGTGTGCACGGCCTGTGTGTGCACTGCGTGTGTGCTTACCGCCTATGTACTGTCTGTGTGTGCACTGTGTGTGCACTGCTGTGTGTGCACTGTGTGTGTGTGCTGCATGTGTGTACTGTGTGTTTTGTGTGTGCACTGCTTGTGTACTGCATCTGTGTGCACATGCAGCACTGCAGGACGCACATGGTGAGACGGAGCACGTGCGTGTGTGCACAAGCCTGCAGACTGCTGTGTGTACTGCATGTGTGCGCACTGCCTGTGTGCACTGCTGTGTATGTGCTGCGTGTGTGTGTGGTGTATGTGTGTGTGCACTGCTGTGTGTATTGCGTGTGTGTGTCTGCACTGTGTGTACTGCATGTGTGTGCACTGCCTGCGTGCTGCTCTGTGTGTCCTGGATGTGTGTGTGTGCATCTACTGCTGTGTGTGTTGTGTGTGCACTGCTATGTATGTTGTGTGTGCACTGCTGTGTGTATTTCGTGTGTGTGTGTGTGCACTGTGTGTACTGCATGTGTGTGCACTGCCTGGGTGCTGCTCTGTGTGTCCTGGATGTGTGTGTGTGCATCCACTGCTGTGTGTGTACTACCTCTCTGTGCACTGCTGTGTATGTGCTGCGTGTGTGTGTGGTGTATGTGTGTGTGCACTGCTGTGTGTATTGCGTGTGTGTGTCTGCACTGTGTGTACTGCATGTGTGTGCACTGCCTGCGTGCTGCTCTGTGTGTCCTGGATGTGTGTGTGTGTGCATCCACTGCTGTGTGTGTACTACCTCTCTGTGCACTGCTGTGTATGTTGTGTGTGCACTGCTGTGTGTATTGCGTGTGTGTGTCTGCACTGTGTGTACTGCATGTGTGTGCACTGCCTGGGTGCTGCTCTGTGTGTCCTGGATGTGTGTGTGTGTGCATCCACTGCTGTGTGTGTACTACGTCTCTGTGCACTGCTGTGTGTTGTGTGTGCACTGCTGTGTGTGTGCTGTGTGTGTGCACATGCAGCACTGCAGGACACACATGGTGAGACGAGCACGTGTGTGTGTGCACAAGCACGTGGGTGCATGTCTCCTCTTGTCTCAGTCATGGGGCTGCACCCTCAAGCCTCACCTAATCCTTGTCACCTCCCAAAGACCCCCTCAGCTCCCACAGTGAATTCAGTTCCTGCCCCTTATCACCTCCCAGCCGCGGCAGAGTCAGCCCCCGGAGGGAGCCGGCTCAGCAGCAGTGACCCCTTCACCAGGAAATGACCCCCCACCCTGAGGGGTGGGGCCAGGGAGTCCCTGTGGTACTGGAGCTCTCACCCAGGGGAGGGCCCCACCTGCACCGCGCGCTCCCTGGAAGCCCGTGGGTGGGCTGTGCTGCACACACCCTGAGAAGGCCCTAGGCCTCCTGCAAACCCCCCAGAGCCGGGCCAGCGGTGGCTTTCCCTGCCTGATTAGGTTGTGTTACTCAGCACAGCCCCGGGGGTAAAGGAGGTTGTCCTTAGAGGTGATCCAGCAGGGAAGGGCCCCCGAAGAGGAGGCCGGGAGCGGAGGGCTGAGGCCGGGGTGCAGCAGGTGCAGCCGCTGATTGTGGTGCTCCGCTGCAGATGCAGCTCCCTGCGAATGCACCTGAGAAAGCAGCGGAGGCGGCCCAAGTGCTGGGGCCCTGCCCCCGTGGGAGCAACAGAGGAGCTCCTGGCCCGGCCTGGCCCAGCCCTGCCTGCTGCTCTCCACCTGGGGAGTGAGCCAGGAGACGGAAGCTCGCTCGCTCGCTCTCTCTCTCTCTCTCTGTCCCTGGGCCTTTCAAATGAATAAATCTCTTTACCAAAAATATTTATTTATTTATTTAAGTTGCAGATAAAGGTCTTCTATCTGCTGGTTCACTCCCCAGATGGTTGCAATGGCTGGAGCTGGGCCGGGCGGAGCCAGAGAGGCCAGGAGCTGTGTCCAAGTCTCCCACGTGGGTGCAGGGGCCCAAGCTCTTGGGCCATCTTCTGCTGCTTTCCCAGGCAGAGCAGGGAGCTGGATCAGAAGTGGAGCAGCCGAGACACAAACTGCCACCCACATGGGATGCCGGGGTCACAGGTGCAGCTGTATGCACTAAGCCACAAGGCAGGGCCCTAAGTCCTAGAGACGAGACGAGACTGGAAGCACGAAGAGTCCACGAGGGAGATGCCTGCTGCAGGACACAGCACGGAGCCGACAGCTCAGTCAGACACCGAGAGCCGAAGCCGGAGAACTCGGAAGCAGCTGAGGCAAAATGATGCCTGGCCTGTGCGGGAGCCCGGGAGACGCCCCCTGCCCGTGCGGGAGCCCGGGAGACGCCCCCTGCCTGTGAGCAAGTCCAGGAGACGCCCCCTGCCCTGTGCGGGAGCCCGGGAGACACCCCCTGCCCGTGCGGGAGCCCGGGAGACGCCCCCTGCCTGTGAGGGAGCCCGGGAGACGCCCCCTGCCCGTGAGCGAGTCCAGGAGACTCCCCCTGCCCGTGCGGGAGCCCAGGAGACGCCCCCAGCCCGTGAGGGAGCCCGGGAGACGCCCCCTGCCCGTGAGGGAGCCCGGGAGACGCCCCCTGCCCGTGCGGGAGCCCGGGAGACACCCCCTGCCCGTGTGGGAGCCCGGGAGACGCCCCCTGCCCGTGCGGGAGCCCGGGAGACACCCCCTGCCCGTGAGGGAGCCCGGGAGACGCCCCCTGCCCGTGAGGGAGCCCGGGAGACGCCCCCTGCCCGTGCGGGAGCCCGGGAGACGCCCCCTGCCTGTGTGGGAGCCTGGGAGACGCCCCCTGCCCGTGCCGGAGCCCGGGAGACACCCCCTGCCCGTGAGGGAGCCCGGGAGACGCCCCCTGCCCGTGAGGGAGCCCGGGAGACACCCCCTGCCCGTGAGGGAGCCCGGGAGACGCCCCCTGCCCGTGAGGGAGCCCGGGAGACGCCCCCTGCCCGTGCGGGAGCCCGGGAGATGCCCCCTGCCCGTGAGGGAGCCCGGGAGACGCCCCCTGCCCGTGCCGGAGCCCGGGAGATGCCCCCTGCCCGTGAGGGAGCCCGGGAGACGCCCCCTGGGCTGTGAGACGATGGCTCACAGGTGACAGAACCCGGCAGGACGAGGGCTGACTTCTTCACAGGGCAGGGGAGCCCAGAGAAGGTGGGTGGCCGACTCCCCGCCCCAGGAAGGCACCAAGCAGGGACCCTACATGCAGGAAAATCCTGTTTCGCCTTGGAACTGAAGGTGGAATAGACAGTCCAAGGAAACAGAACTCGCTGCCGCTAGCCTAGCTCAGCAGACACTGAGGAAAGCTCACAGGCCGAGGGCGAGAAGAGCAGGTGACGATCTTCATCTGTTCTCTGGCACAGCCGCGCAGTGCCCTGGCTCCCGCCCGTGGGAGTGCGTGCTCAACACACGCCAGCTGGCAGCTTGTCAGCAGTACAGCCGCCGTCGGTACTGATGGAGGCGCGAGACTGATTTTTTTTATATTATTTTATTTATTTGAAAGGCAGGGTTATTTGAGAGAGAGAGAGAGAGAGAGAGAGAGAAAGAGAGAGAGAGAGGCCTTCCATCTGCTGGTTCACTCCCCAAATGGCTGCAACAGCTGGAGCTGAGCCATGCCGAAGCCAGGAGCCAGGACCTTCATCCGGGTCTCCCATGTGGGGGCAGGAGCCCAGGCACTTGGGCCATCTTTCGCTGACTTTCCCAGGTGCATCAGCAGGGAGCTGGATCAGAACCCAGGTGGGATGCTGGCATTACAGGCAGTGGCTTAGTCTATGATGCCACAATAGCCGGCAAGACTGGGGCTAAGGCAGCAAGGTTGCGAAGGAAGCTCCAAGTGCAGCTTTCTGCTATACAAGCTCTGTGCCTGGAGACCTGGGGCAGCCACCCACGCTGCTACCTGCCCTGGGCACACGGTGCCCCTAGCTCCAGAAGGAAGCCCAGTCGTCCTTCTTGGAATCCGCACTGGCCTGTACCGGGAATGTGGGCTCCAGGCTTGACTGGGACAGCCCAGCAGGCACAGGCTGCCCAAGATGGCCGTGTGGCCCCTTGCACAAGAAGTGTTTATCTAAGACCTCTGAGATCTGTGCATCCAGACTCCACTGGCTCCCAGCGTGGGGCGGAGGACGGAGCTGAGCAGGTGCAGCACCTACCCTTAGAGCAGGAGTCTCCCTGGGAGAAGCAGGCCCTCCGTGCCCCAGACCCTTCCCAGGGCAGGGGCAACGGGGAGGGGCTGACTTCTCGTAGAAGTTGAAAGCATGAGAGGCCAGCCATCGTGAACAAGCTAACTGCTCGATGGAGGAACAGGCAGGCCAGCTGGGGGACAGTCAGGGACAGACAACTAGAAAAGGAGCCTGCTGGCCTCCCAGAACCCCTGAAAGCCCAGGTCTGTACCAGCTACTCGGGGTGGCCAGCAGGGGCACACTCCTGATGTGTGTCTTCCCATTGCTGCCCTCACCTGGGGGCTTCTAACTGCAGACACAACACGGACTCAGCAAAACAGGCCCCCGGTGAGACAGTCTCGCGGGCTAGGATGGAGGTTTGCAGCAGGAATGATCCCTTCCGGAGGTTCCAGGGGAGACTTTGTCTCCTGCCTCTTGCGTCTTCCCAGCCACACTCCGCGGTGGCACTGCCTCCTCTTCTGCCAACAAATCCCCATTTCCCCTTCCTGAGGACGCTGAGGGCCCCACTTCCCCTTCCTGAGGACGCTGAGGGCCCAGTGCCTGGAGAGCAGGGCCACTCCCGCCTCGAGATCTGGGGCTTAGGAGCTGGCATTGCGGCGCAGTGTGTTGAGACACCACTTGGAGCCCTGGCTGCTCGGCTTCCAATCCAGCTCCTCGATAACGTGCCTGGGAAAGCAGCAGAAGATGGCCCAGATACCCGGTCCCTTGCACCCACCTGGCAGAGCTAGATGGAGTTCCAGGCTCCTGGGTTCAGCCTGACCCAGCCCCAGCCATCGCGGCTACCTGGGGAGTGAACCAGTAGGTAGAGGATATTTCTCTTTCTCTCTCTCTCTCTCTCTCAAATAAACTTTTTTATAAAATTCATGACTTAGTCACATCTGCAAAACAAGCTCAACTTCACAGGCTTCAGTGATTTCCCCTGGGGCTCTTTGGCAGTCACCGTGACGCTGTCACAGACATCCCACCCCCATGAGGGATGGGTCCTCACTGGCTCCGGAAGCATGAGCACAACCTTTGGCCAATCTGTGGTTGATGATAAGCCACGCTGGCTCAGTGCCATCTCTAGGAAGCCAGACTTTTTAAAAAATATTTATTTGAAAGGTAGAGAGAGAGAAGGAAAGACAGATAGACAGAGAAAGGTGAGATCTTCCATCCGCTGGTTCACCCCCCAGATGCTGCAACAGCCAGGACTGCACCAGACCAAAGCCAGGAGCCAGGAGCTTCTTCCAGGTCTCCCAGGTGGGTGCAGGGGCCCATGGGCTTGGGCCACCTTCTGCTGCTTCCCCAGGTGCGTTAGCAAGGAGCTGGATTGGAAGTGGAGTAGCCACATGGGATGCCGGTATTGCAGGCAGCAGCTTTACCCACTACGACACAATGCCGGCCCACCCAGAAACTCCTGGCTTTGGCCTGACCCAGCCCAACCACTGCAGCCATTTGGGGAGAGAAACAGGAGACATGTCACCCTCTTTTCAAAAACCACACTCTGGTTATAGCCCTACCCCTGACATGGGGGAATTTCAGTTCCTTTGGGGCCAGTGTGTGGCAGTGGGTTAAGCCACTGCCATCGCATATGGAACCAGTGCAAGTCCTGGCTGCTCCGCCTCTGGTCCAGCTCCTGCTGATGCACTTGGGAAAGCAGCAGACGACGGCCCAAGTGCTGGGGCTCCTGCCATCCATGTCGGAGACCCGGAAGGAGTCTGTGGCTCTTGACTCCAGCCTGGCCCAGCCCTGATCATTGTGGCCATTTGGGAAGTAAACCAGCGAATGGAAGATCTCTCTCTCTCTCCTGCTCTGTTTTTTTTTTTTTTTTTAATATTTATTTATTTGAAAGAGTTACACAGAGAAGGAGAGGCAGAGAGAGAGAGAGAGTGAGTCTTCCATCCAATGGTTCACTCCCCAAATGACCGCAACGGCCAGAGCTGAGCTGATCTGAAGCCAGGAGCCAGGAGCTTCTTCCAGGTCTCCCACATGGGTGCAGGGGCCCGAGGACTTGGGCCATCTTCCACTGCTTTCCCAGGCCATAGCAGAGAGCTGGATCAGAAGTGGAGCAGCCAGGACTTGAACCAGTACCCATATGGGATGCCGGCACTGCAGGTAGCAGCTTTATCCACTACACTAAAGCACTGGCCCCTGTGGGTTTTTTCCTAAAATTTATTTATTTATTTGAAAGGTAGAGGCGGGGGGGGGGGGTAAGGTCTTCCATCTGCTGGTTCACTCCCCAAATAGCCGCAATGGCCATAACTGGGCTAATCTGAAGCCAGGAGCTTCTTCCAGGTCTCCTTCATGAGTGCAGGGGCCCCCAAACACTTGGACCATCTTCCACTGCTTTCCTAGACCATAGCAAAGAGCGGAATTGGAAGTGGAGCAGCCAGGACTCGAACCAGCGCCCATATGGAATGCCAGCACTGCAGGTGGTGGGTTTACCCACTATTGCCACATAGCCAGCCCCTCCTGCTCTCTCTGTAACTCTGCCTTGCAAATAAATAAATAAATGTTTAATTAAAAAAAATTGGGGTGGGGCTGGCGCTGTGGCATAGCAGGTAAAGCTGTTGCCTGCAGTGCCAGCATCTCATATTGATGCCAGTTCGAGGCCCGGGTGCTCCACTTCCGATCCAGCTCTCTGCTATGGCCTGGGATAGCAGTAGAAGATGGCCCAGGTCCTTGTGCCTCTGCACCCACGTGGGAGACCCGGAAGAGGTTCCTGGCTCCTGGCTTCGGATCAACGCAGTTCTGGGTGTTGTGGCCAATCGAGGAGTGAACCAGAAGATGGAAGACCTCTCTCTCTGCCTCTCCTTCTCTGCGTAACTCTGACTTATAAATAAATCACAACAATAAAAAGGAAAGAAAGAAAGAACTAGGGGAGAACTGGGCAGTGGCAGAGAGTGCGGCGCGGGGAAACGGCGGTGGCGGAGGCCGCGGGGCCCAGCCTGTGGCAGAACTGAGCTGCTCTGAGACTTTACCTACAATGAAGAGACTGTGCAAAGAAATGGACAGTGTGAACTGCGATTCTGCAGAGACCAGCAGGCGATGCTAACTGCCCTAGCAGACAAGCCAGCCAAGTCCCATTACCAGAGTGGCCATAGCACCAGGGTGGCGGCTCCACGTGGGTCCCCCTGCCACTGCCCAACCTGTCAGCAGAGACCAAGCACCACGGACTCCTTCCACACGGCCGGAGCCAGCGATTGGCCTCCCCTGGAATCTCTGTGCCCCTCCTTCCTCTGCCGCTATGTCCACCCTAGGCTTCCTGAAGGCCTCCCTTTCTGTAAGGACCCACCCGAGAGCTATGACATGCGACAGTGGGCTCGTGCCTTGGGGATCCTGGTGTTCCCAAATCCTTGCCAGCCTAATGGAACGCAGGCAGCCTCCTGGGGGTGCCAGCCCCTTGCAGGGTGAGCCAGGGACCCGGGATCCCGGGACAGGGTCACTGTGGAATACAGGAAGCAGCTGCTCCAGACTGGGCCCTGGCAGAGGAACCACCTCCTTGTAGACTGAGTAAAGCTCGTAACTAAAACGGTTTAGCCGCAATCGGTGAAGGCTGTGCTTCCCCAGCAACCTGCACGGAGCTGCCAGGGGTCTTGCGGGGTCGGGCCAGGGAGCCAGAGCCGGGCAAGCAGAGGCTGTGCAGAGAGCAGTCACTTCCTAACACGGCTCCGCGACTGCCAAGTGAACCCCCGCCTGCCTCTGCCGCGTGTCAGGACGGGCTGAGCTGACTAGTCAGAACATGTGTGAGTCACGGCTCAAACGTGAAGAAACCTGGTAGAGGCTTCCTCAAACTCAACAACAATCCACAAACACGGTTTACCCAAAGGAGCTGTTACCTGACGCAAGCTGTCTAAGACATAAATAATACAAGCAAAATTCAAACAGGAGAAGCGGTTACACGACCTCGCTGCGTACAGACGTGAGCGCGCCGTGCCGCAGTCTCCTGAGCCCATCCGAGTGGCGTCTGAGGAACGCAGGAGACATTTCCCTCAGCTCAGGCAGTAAACCAAGCTGTTCACGGTGCTTAACTAACACGCTCCTCCTGCAGGCTCGGGGACAGGGACCCAGCCACTGGAGCTGTCCGTCACCTACTGCCCCAGGGCGTGCACTAGCAGGGAGCTGGGGTTGGGCGGGCAGTCAGGACTCCCCAGGCACTCAAACACCAGCTGTGGTATCCACAGCAGCACCCCAGCCACTGTGTCACACACTTCTCCTTTCTGTTAAGGGCAGAACGTACTTAGAGGCTTTACAAAGTCTCCCCAACAGCCAGACCGTAAGCAGAAAATTCTCATTAAGGAAAGACAGGTTTACTGTAGTTCCATCTTTTACCAAAAATCACTGCAAGTTATTGATAACAGAATTTCTTTTTTACTTTTGTTAGGTGGGGAGTCAGATATGAGCTTATATGTGTGTGACAAAGGCCTACGTCCAGCATCTGCATCTGCATCTCAAAGTCATCCCGATAATGTTTCAGGGGCAGTCTGGTATTCGCATCCTGCCCTGCCCCTCCTACCTGATGACCTGCCAGGTGGGGGTCCCCGCCCCTTCTGTCTGACAATCTTCCACAGTCTCCCAGATGCAGCCCAGTATCTGCACTTCAAACACCCTGCTCTGATCCCCATTCTCCAGGGCTTCAGGGGAAAACTCAGATAGGAGCTTCTTAAAATTTACATCCATAAAATCCTTTGTTTCGGGAGGAGATGTGTGAAGACAGAGACCCATCTCCTTAAAAACCCCCGGCCTCAACCGGACTGCGCACTCAGCCCTCGGCCTCTCTGCTGAGCCGCCCGCCTGCCTGCCCAGGTGTACTCTCTCCACTCAACCATGTAACCTCGCCCCCCCCCCCGCCCCCGCCCCGCAGTCTGAGAGACTGCACTCTCTCAGGTCCTGTCTGGAGAGGTGCCCATCCCTGCCCTAATAAACCTTGCTATTTTACCTCCCACTACTCTGCCTCACGTCTGAATTCTTTCTTGCGCGAAGACAAGAACCCTGCCATTCACCGGTAACACTTTCTTAAGTCTAATTCTCTAGAAAATTAAAAACCAATGTTTCCACTCTGTGGAGCTGAAACTCAACCACGGTCACCTTGGGAAATGCCGTCTCTGTTCCCACTGTTTTCCTGGCCCGAAGGCCCCACTCCATTGTGTTGTTCAAGAAGACCGGAGGCCTGCAGGGTGCCGGCGGCAGAGTCAGCCCAGCCTCATCTCACACTCAATCTTTCCCCACTGGGCTTGCAGCTGCAAGGTGTCCTGGTCAGACCCGACCGAAGCCAGGGTGGCAGTAGGGTCAGCGTAGGGTGATTCACTCAGGTGGCACTGATACGAAGACAGTCACGCAGGTGGCGCAGCTGCTCACTCAGCCCCGTGAGGGGCTGCCAGCTCGGCTCAGCTCCACGAATCATCACTTTTTCTCCCCGTCTTGAGGAGCAACTGCAGAACACACGTCTTTGCGATCACCTGTCACACAACTGTCCATCTATAGCCGCAGGACAAAACAGCTTCCGAATGAAAGGTCATTTGGTCGTTGTCTGGTGTATCCTAAATGGGGTAGACTGAAATGCATGTCCTTCTGCAGGACAGCCCATGCGTTTGCGATTGATGGCCCAACACCGGTCAGATCTTTCGTTCTGTGGTCCTACCCAGCGCTGTTTGTGATCTTTTTCTGCACGTCATGAGTTCCTTGACTCATGCTTTAAAGCATCAGCGTCGGGGCCAGCACTGTGGCGCAGTGGGCTAAGCCACTGTCTGCAGTGCCGGCATCCCATACAGGTGCTGGTTCAAGTCCTGGCTGCTCCACTTCCGACCCAGCTCCCTGCTAATGTGTCCCCTGCACCCACGTGAGAGACCCGGAGGAAGCTCCTGGCTCCTGTCTCTCACCTGGCCCATCCCCGGCTGTTGTGGCCATTTGGGGAGTGAACGAACAGATGGAAGACTCTCCCCACACCTCTGTAACTCTTTCAAATAAACAAACAGTTTTTAATAAAAAAGGCATCAGCTTCTTAACTAAAAAAAGTTAAAATAGTACACAAAACATTGTCAAGCACCAGGTTCTTCAGCACAAGACACAAAACGAGCTCTAGCTGTATCCTTAGATGCAGAAGGTGCTTTTCTGGAAAACTTACAGTGCGCTGCGATGTTCCAAGGCAGAGCCGGGCTTCACGCAAGATCAAACAGCAAACCGACAGTGCCGTCTGGTGACGTGCCTTCATGTTCAAACCATGCCGCACTGACTTTTTTTTTTTTTTTTTTTAATTTTTGACAGGCAGAGTGGACAGTGAGAGAGAGAGAGAGACAGAGAGAAAGGTCTTCCTTTGCCGTTGGTTCACCCTCCAATGGCCGCCGCAGCCGGCGCGCTGCAGCCGGCGCACCGCGCTGATCCGATGGCAGGAACCAGGAGCCAGGTACTTATCCTGGTCTCCCATGGGGTGCAGGACCCAAGCACCTGGGCCATCCTCCACTGCACTCCCTGGCCACAGCAGAGGGCTGGCCTGGAAGAGGGGCAACCGGGACAGAATCCGGCGCCCCGACCGGGACTAGAACCCGGTGTGCCGGCGCCACTAGGCGGAGGATTAGCCTATTGAGCCACGGCACCGGCCCCGCACTGACTTCTAACCTGCTGGAAGCGCCCTGCCACTCTGCGGGACACGCGTGGCCAGTAACTTCCTCCGGCGATAGGAACAGCACGACTCTGCCTCCTCGGCTGTTTCACCTGACGAGTGACGCGAGTCAGAATCCGGCCCCAGCTCCCTGCAGTGGCGGAGACGCTCAGCCCCGTCCTTGCCCTTCTTTTAGGGTGTATCTACATGAAAGGCAGAGCTACAGGCGGGGAGAGTCTTCCACCCACTGGTTCACTCCCAGACGGCTGCAATGGCCAGGGCTCCGTCCCCCACACGCAGGAGCAGGGTGGCCAATCAGCAGCACCTCGGGCTACTCCCGCCTCACACCCCGGGGCCTCTGCCCCTCACTCCAGCTGCAGGGCACACACATGGGTGCGTGCACGTCCGGGGCTGTGTTGTAGACGTCAAAGGCCGCCCCTGGATTCCGTGATTGGCTAGAAGAACACAGCGCTCAGCGTGGAGCTGTGCTCACAGCCAAGATTCATTCCGGAGAAAGGAAATGAGTTAAAGTCGGTGAAGGGAAAGGTTCACGGGATGAAGCAGGCATCCTCTCAGGACCAGGGTCCTGGTCCAGCGGGCTCACACGGGACACGGCCATCTCCCGGCAACAAGCGGGGACAGCGACCGTGCAGTGTGTCTACAGGGAAGCTGGCTGGAGCCTCCGTGCCCAGGCTGTGCATGGCCGGCTGGCACACAGGCACCTTGTGAGGCCTGGAAGGAAAGCAGCCGTTCCTCACAAGCCGAATGTTTGACAAACAGCCCAGTGAGCGCTGCGAAGCCTGAGGGCCGGGTTCCCAGACGCCAGTGCACTTTGCAGACCTGTCTTCTAAAGAGCGGGCCTGCTGGGCTAGCAGTTCTGCACAGGACCCTAGTCAGGCCCCCACCCGCAGTGCCTGCATCACGTACCGATGCTGGTTCACATCCCAGCTGCCCCACTCTGATCCAGCTCCCTGCTGTGGCCTGGGAAGGCAGCAGCAGATGGCCCAAGTGCTTAGGCCCCAGCACCCACGTGGGAGGGCTGGAGGAAGCCCCTGGCTACCACTCACCCACTTTGGTTGCTTAGGCTGAAGACTGGCACTTCCTGGTTACTCTGAGTCGTGAAGCTGGGGCTGCAGCGGTGGCAGGGACCCAGGGGACCGCAGGCTCCTCAGTATTTTCACCTTACCCAGTCAAGACAGGGAGGAGGACAGCAGAGGTCAGGCCGACACTCCAGCCCAGTGAGGACGGGACAGTGAGCTCAGGCCACCGAGGCAAGGGGCTGCGGCTGCTCTTCTAGCAGACAGCTTCGTCCAGCAGCAGGGTAGAGCGTGGGGGACCCAGAGTGGTCAGTGGCAGAGGACCAGCCCTCACGGCCGCGGCCACAGCCACTACGGAGAAGACGCTGCAAGCGCTGCACCTGGACCCTGGACCAGCCTGTCTGCATCGCCACGCCGTCCAGGGCAGCTGCGCTTTGTCCCTTCCCCTTAAGCCTGGGCCATGCGGTACGGCAGAGGCAACGCGGACTTCTGGGGCTGAGTCATGAAGTCGCCACACACGCGGCGCTGCCTTGGGAGCCGCCACCAAGCCGAGGGAAAGCCCAGGCTGCTTGGGGAAGCCAGGCAGGTGTGCGCCGACGGCCTGCAGCTAACAGCAGCGGCCACGGGGAGGAAGCATTCAAGACGGCGCCAGCCACCACTGAGCGCCAACTGTGGACTGTGCGAAGCAACCCAGGGACTTCCGCTCTGTGACAGCGTGCAGGTCCCGCAGCAAGAACCAAGCATGCACCAACCGCCTTCTGGAAGGGTGCGGCCATCTGCACCCTCAAAGGGGACGCGGGCACTGTGGGAGCTGGGCGTACGGGAGGCAAGAGCCCGGGAGCACGGGACCGGCGCCCGCGTCTCCTCTCCTCTCCGGCGCGCCTCTTTCCACCTGCAGACTGCGGTGGGATGCGGCCCAGCGGAGGCAGGTGCTGGCCGCACAGGTCCGGGCCCCTTCCCACGGACACGGTCAGTTCCCAGGCTCGGTGGGAAAGCAGCAGAGCTCGCGCTGCCCTGCTTGCGGCCTTCGCCCCGAAGCCCCTGCCCTCGGGGTGCGCTCTCCGCGGCCACAACGCAGCCCTGCAGGACCACGCGAAGGGATTCCGCGCTGTTTTGTGCAACACAAAAAGGTGCGTACGAGGGAACAGGCTCAGCGCCCCCAGAGCCGCGGGGTGACAAGCGCCTGAGGGAGTCACAACTCCGCGGATACGACCGTATCGTACGAGGTCGCGCCCAGCTTTTAAACTCAACAAAAGTTAGAACGGCAAGGAACCGAGAGAACGGAGCCCCGCCAGCTCCGGCGGCCGCGGAAGACCGCCCGGGACCGCGGCGCCGGAAGTGACGCCACACCGCGCGGAGCCGCGGGCCTCAGGGACCGGAAGTGCGGCCTGGCCGCCGGAAGTGCCGGGGCTGATGGGAGGTGTAGTTCTCCGGCCGGCCGAGCGCGGAGCGGGCGGCCGCGAGCATGGCGGGCCTGGAGCTCTTGTCGGACCAGGGCTACCGGGTGGACGGACGGCGCGCCGGGGAGCTGCGCAAGATCCAGGCGCGGATGGGGGTGTTCGCGCAGGCCGACGGCTCGGCCTACATCGAGCAGGGCAACACCAAGGCGCTGGCGGTGGTGTACGGGCCGCACGAGGCGAGTGAGCGGGCGGCGGCGGCGGCGCGCCCTCGGAGCGAACGCCCACCGGCCGCCGTGCGGCGCTTCGCGTGCCGGGCGCTCTCGCTCCCTTACCTCGACGGCCCGGCCCGCGGCAGTCCACACGCGCTGCCTGTCGGCGCGAGCAGTGGGCGGACTGGGGTGGGGAGAGCCGGGCACCCGTCCGCCGTGAGGCTTTCCCAGGGTTTGGGGTTTCACTCCCCGCGCAGTGGGGAGGCGGGGGTTGAGGTGCAGCTCCCACAGAACCCGCGTAGCCCCGGGGAGTGGGTTAGGGACGCGCGCCGGAGGCGACTGGCGGCGCTGGGCGAGCAGCCGCTGCGGACTAGGGCGGGGGCCGGGGGGCCTGGGCCTGGCTCACGAGGCGCCCCTCTTCCAGATCCGGGGCTCCCGCTCGCGCGCGCTGCCCGACCGGGCCCTGGTGAACTGCCAGTACAGCTCGGCGACGTTCAGCACAGCCGAGCGCAAGCGCCGGCCGCACGGGGACCGCAAGTCCTGTGAGCTGGGCCTGCAGCTGCGCCAGACCTTCGAGGCGGCCATCCTCACCCAGCTGCACCCACGCTCCCAGATCGACATCTACGTGCAGGTGAGCTGGCCGCAGCCCCGCACGCGGAGGGAGGGGCTGCGGGGCGTGGGGCGGCCGCCTGACGCCCCTCGGGGTCCCTGCAGGTGCTGCAGGCGGACGGGGGCACCTACGCGGCCTGTGTGAACGCGGCCACGCTGGCAGTGCTGGACGCCGGGATACCCATGCGGGACTTCGTGTGCGCCTGCTCGGCCGGCTTTGTGGACGGCACAGCGCTGACGGACCTCAGCCACGTGGAGGAGGCGTCGGGCAGCCCCCAGCTGGCTCTGGCCCTGCTGCCGGCCTCCGGCCAGATCGCGCTGCTGGAGATGGACGCTCGCCTGCACGAAGACCACCTGGAGCAGGTGCTGGAGGCGGCTGCGCAGGCTGCGCGCGGCGTGCACACCCTGCTGGACCGCGTCGTGCGGCAGCACGTGCGCGAGGCCTCCATCCTGCTGGGGGACTGAACAGCGGCCGCCGGGCCCGTGCGGACCTCTCCCACGCGTGACCTGCTCCGGAGTCGCACCTGGAGGGCCGGTGCGGTGCGCGCAGGCGGCGGGAGGCGGCTGTGGGCGCTGTGGGCTGGACTGAGCAGCCCCTTCCCCCAGGAGACCCTGGGCCGTTCTGTCCCTTACCTTGAGCTCTAAAAGTACCACAACCTCGTGCACTTGCCTGCATTATTCTCCCCTGCTCGGCCCCTGCCTCCCCGCCCACCACTGCGCCCCCGTCACCCGCCCGAGCCCTGCAGCAGGGAACCAGGAGCTGCGTCTCCCGGACCACCTCGGGGACCCCCTGGCCTGGACAGGGGCAGCGCGCTCCCTACCGGCGACCTCGGTGCAGGGCACCCACGGCGAGGATTCCCCGTCCCGGCCTCCCTCTCCAAGCCCTTCATCCCCGTCGGCTGCTCGCTGCCGCCCTGCGCTTCACCTCCGTCTCCTGCCAGCCGTCCAGCTGGTGCTTTCTCGCCGCCCCTGACCGGTCTGGCCCGTTCGTGCACGGTCTGGCCGAACTGGAAGCTGCCTCCCTTGCCTGGGCCCACCCCCTGTCAGCTGAGCCCGAGCCCCGCGGCCTTCCGGCGAGTCGCCGCTCAGAGCATGCGCAGTGGGCCTCCTGCGACCCTTCTGGCCTGGGCATGCGCAGGGGCCTCCCCGCCTTCTGGTCTGGGCATGCGCGGCGGCGCGAGGCCCTCTGGGACCGGAAGTGCGAGCGAGCGCGAAGCCCCGGGTCTGACAGGAGCCGCGCGCCGCGTCGGTGCCCGTACTGGTGGCGGGAGAGGGGTCGTGGGCCCGCGCCGCCCAGCCATGGGCCTCCTGTCGGACCCGGTGCGCCGGCGCGCGCTCGCCCGCCTCGTGCTGCGCCTGAACGCGCCGCTGTGGTAAGCGCGGGGCCGCGGGGCGGGGGCCCGGGCCGCGCGGCCCCGCGGACGCTGAGGCGGCCCCTCTGCCCCGTCGCAGCGTGCTGAGCTACGTGGCCGGCATCGCCTGGTTCCTGGCGCTGGCTTTCCCGCCGCTGACCCAGCGCACGTACATGTCCGAGAACGCCATGGGCTCCACCATGGTGGAGGAGCAGTTCGCGGGGGGGGACCGCGCCCGGAACTTCGCGCGCGACTTCGCCGCCCACCGCAGGAAGTCGGGGTGAGCGGCGGAGCGGGGGTCTGGGAGGGCCGAGGCCGAGGCCGGGCGCCGTGCTCACAGAGGCTCTGTGTCTCCAGGGCCCTGCCGGTGGCCTGGCTGGAGCGGACCATGCGGTCAGTAGGGCTGGAGGTCTACACGCAGAGTTTCTCCCGGAAACTGCCTTTCCCAGATGAGACTCACGAGCGCTATGTATTGGGGGAGGGGGTGTGGCTGGGGCCGAAAAGCATCTTGGGGTGGCATAGGGTGGGAGTCGCGTTGGGCGGTCCCGAGGCCAGGGAAGCCCCTGGGGAGCACGGCGTGGCCGGGCAGAGGGAGGGGCCCTGCACTGTACCGGGGTTCCCGGGCTGACGCTCCCCACCTGCCACTGTGTGCAGCTGGTGTCCGGTACCAACGTGTATGGCATCCTGCGAGGGCCCCGAGCCGCCAGCACCGAGTCCCTGGTGCTCACCGTGCCCTGTAGCTCCGACTCCACCAACAGCCAGGCTGTGGGGCTGCTGCTGGCACTTGCTGCCCACTTCCGTGGTGAGACTGGCTGTGGGGGTCGCTGCTGGCCAGGGACGGCTTGGTCGGTGCCCCAGCCCTGCTGCTGACCCTGCCTCTCACGTGCAGGGCAGATTTACTGGGCAAAAGATATCATCTTCCTGGTGACCGACCATGACCTTCTGGGCACGGAGGCCTGGCTCGAAGCCTACCACGACGTCAATGTCACTGGTAGGTGCCCTGCCCTGCCCTGGTCGCTGCCTCCACCAGCCCCTCGCTGGCGCTCGCTCACTGTCCCTGCAGGCATCCAGTCGTCGCCCCTGCAGGGCCGGGCGGGGGCCATCCAGGCGGCCGTGGCCCTGGAGCTGAGCAGCGACGTCATCACGAGCCTGGACGTGACCGTGGAGGGACTCAACGGGCAGCTGCCGAACCTTGACCTGCTCAACCTCTTCCAGACCTTCTGCCAGAAAGGGGGGCTGCTGTGCACGCTGCAGGGCAAGGTGAGGCCCCGCCTGGGGCGCACAAGGCCTGCTGGGAGGAGGGCGCGCTGATCCTGCACCTGTTCCCCCGAAGCTGCAGCCCCAGGACTGGACATCGCTGGATGGGCCACTGCAGAGCCTGCAGACGCTGCTGCTCATGGTCCTGCGGCAGGCCTCCGGCCGCCCCCACGGCCCCCACGGCCTCTTCCTGCGCTACCGCGTGGAGGCCCTCACGCTGCGGGGCATCAACAGCTTTCGCCAGTACAAGTACGACCTGGTAGCGGTGGGCAAGTAAGTAGCTCTGGGCCCCTCTTCCCACGCCAGGGGGTGGCCCGGGGCCGGCCAGCTGTGACCCTGCCTCCCGTGCGGCAGGGCTCTGGAGGGCATGTTCCGAAAGCTCAACCACCTCCTGGAGCGGCTGCACCAGTCCTTCTTCTTCTACCTGCTGCCGGCGCTCTCGCGCTTCGTCTCCATCGGCCTCTACATGCCGGCCGCCGGCTTCCTGCTCCTGGTCCTCGGGCTCAAGATATCCTCCCCCGCCCCACTCGGGCTCTCCGCTTGGAGCCCCTCAGCCCCGGGGAGAATCCCTCATCCTGCTGGGGGGTGGTGGGGGGTGGTGCTGGGTCCTCCCGCAGACCGCGTCCTGGCAGAGTCCTTGACTGGCCACGCCCTGGAGCTGTGGATGCGGTTGCACGAGGCCGGAGCGGGCCCCGACGAGGCTCGGGGCGTGCCTGGGCCCAGCCTTGCCGCTCCCCCAGTGCAGGTGATGGCGCCCCCTCCTCTTCCGGGGAGGGCTTCTAGCGTCCTGCGCGGAGCCTGCCGCTGCCCCGCACCCCTATGTAGAAGGCTGGTGATGAGGGGTCTTGGGGCTCCCTGGTCCCAGGGCCCATCTCCAGAAGCCCGTGTGCCCTGCAGGGTGTGGGGCTGACCTCGCTCGTGGCACCTCTGCTGATCTCCCAGGCCATGGGGCTGGCCCTCTACGTCCTGCCGGTGCTGGGCCAGCACGTGGCTGCCCAGCACTTCCCAGTGGCCGAGGCCGAGGCTGTGGTGCTGACGCTGCTGGCGATTTACGCCGCTGGCCTGGCCCTTCCACACAACACTCACCGGTGAGGGCCGGGCGGTGGGGGCGGGGTCCCCTCGGCACGTAGCGCTGTGCCGGGCTGCCTCTGAGCCCGCACCTTGCAGGGTGGTGAGCACGCAGGCCCCAGACCGGGGCTGGATGGCGCTGAAGCTGGTGGCTCTGGTCTACCTGGCCCTGCAGCTGGGCTGCATCGCGCTCACCAACTTCTCCCTGGGCTTCCTGCTGGCCGCCACCATGGTGCCTGCTGCCGCTCTCGCCGAGCCCCACGGGCCCCGGTATGTGCGCTGTGCCTTCTCCCAGAGCTTCCTGCCCTCACTGCCCCTGCCCCCGCCTCGGGACCCACCCTGTGGCTCCTTCACCTAGGCCGCTCTACGCCGCCCTGCTGGTGCTGACGAGCCCGGCAGCCACTCTGCTGGGCAGCCTGTTCCTGTGGCGGGAGCTGCAGGAGGTGCCGCTGTCGCTGGCTGAGGGCTGGCAGCTCTTCCTGGCGGCGCTGGCCCAGGGCGTGCTGGAGCACTACAGCTACGGCGCCCTGCTCTTCCCGCTGCTGGCGCTGGGCCTCTACCCCTGCTGGCTGCTCTTCTGGAACGTGCTCTTCTGGAAGTGAGGTCAGCCTGTCGGGCGCAGAGAGCAGGGCCCTCCACGGCCACCCCTCTACCTCCTGGAATAAACAAACGTGCTTTCGGCTGCTCCTGGGGCTCCTAGCCGCCGTCCATGTCGGGCATCAGGGCGTGGGGGCGAACAGCCTGTGCCTGCAGAGTGGGGCAGTCTCCCGGGGCTCCTGGCGGGGCTGCCCTGCTCTGCTCACTGGCAGGAGTAGGGGCCCAGCTGTGTCAGACCCAGGAGCGCCTCGGACGGACACGGCCAAACCGGTCCCAGGCCTTGGGCTCTGGACGGGGTGTGTGCAGACCCTGCCCGACCCCAAGTGCATATTCTCAGGCCAGAGGGTGCCACCGACGTGTGCATCTGTGCCAGGCTCAATGCTAAGGAGAAGGAAATACCCCAGACAAGACTTGGCATCTGCCCGGGGCTGCAGCCCCCATAGATGACATGGTCTGTCACTGCTGGACTGGGGGACCGGGCTGCAGCCCCCGTAGATGACATGGTCTGTCACTGCTGGACTGGGGGACCGGGCTGCAGCCCCCGTAGATGACATGGTCTGTCACTGCTGGACTGGGGGACCGGGCTGCAGCCCCCGTAGATGACATGGTCTGTCACTGCTGGACTGGGGGACCGGGCTGCAGCCCCCGTAGATGACATGGTCTGTCACTGCTGGACTGGGGGACCGAGCCGCAGCCAGAGCCTGCAGGAGGTGCAGGACAGGACCGCAGCGCTGCATGTGGGCAGAGGTGCTCACAGCCCAGCCGGCACTGGAGCACAGGGGACAGCAGGGAGAGGCCGACGCAGAGACCTGCTTTGTGAAATGCTGTGTGTTTGAAAGGCGGAGAGAGGATCTGTGTCCACTGATTTACTCTCCAGATGGTGGCACCAGCGTCCCTGGGCCGTGCTGGAGCCTGGAGTCGGGACACCATCCCCGTCTCCCAGGTGGGTAAGAGCAGCTCAAGCGCCTGGCACCGGGTCCACGGCTCCCCGGGAGCGCTAGCAGGGACAGACCGCAGTGCTGGAAGGGGTGCAGGCAGGGCAGCGTCGAGGCGCAGCAGTGCTGATTCAAGTCCTGGCTGCTCCCTGCTAGGCGCCGTGGCTCGAGTGCTTGGCCCCTGCCCCCCGCCCCTGCAGGGGAGACAGGATGAAGCGCCAGTTCTCCGCTGTGGCTGGAGGAGCCAAAGCGATTGTTAGAGTTGGCCTAGGGGCAGCGTCCAGTGCCGTGTCCGAGTGGTGTGATGAGGGAGGGCACCTGCCCTGTCCCGGGCCCTGCTGCCTCGTGGTGGGGCTTGGCTCCCCATGGCAGGGTCCAGGGCCTCGGGAGCTTTGTGTGTTTGTTTAAATTCTCAGTTTTGTTCTAACTTGTCCTTTTTACTTTTTTTTTTATAAAGACCATTTGAGAGGCAGAGTCATAGAGAGAGAGAGACAGAAAGAAAAGTCTGCCATTGGCTGGTTCACCCCCCAAGTGGCCGCAACAACCGGAGCTGAGCCAATCAAGAGCCAGGAACTTGTTGAAGTTTTCGTTTTACGTACAAAGAGCTAGCATGATTTTCATGTTGTTAATGTCTTTGAAGAAGCGGTTCTTGGAACATCATTTAGTCCAACTGAATGAAGTCTGAAGCCTTCCCACACGGAAGGGAGCTCGCGGCACTGGGACGGTAGCTAGGTCGGCCTGCGCTGGCTGCTCGTCTGGCAGGAGCTCTGCACGGTTGAGCGCGTGGGCCCCTGTGACGCGGCGGCCTCACCAGCCTGCCCGTGTTCACCTGCCGTCCCGGGGCTGGGACTTGGGTCACGTTCTGTGACGAGCATTTCCCTGACCCAGCTGCCTCCCACACGAGGAGCACGTCCCAGCTGTCAGTCAGGCCTGGAACCTGGGCTGCTGTGTGGGAAACAGTTGTAGTTTTGGTCTTTTGTTTGTTTTTGGTTGATTTGAAAGGTAGAGAGGTAGGGAGAGAAAGAGCTTCCATGCATGGCTCGCTCCCCAAGTACTGACAGGCAGGCAGGGCCAGGGCAGGATGAAGGCAAGAGCCAGACTTCCAGCTGGGTCTCCCATGTGGGTGGCAGGGACTTGGGCCAGGGGCCAGTGCTGTGGTGTAGCGGGTAAAGCCACCACCTGCAGTGCCGGCATCCCATATGGGCGCCGGTTCAAGTCCCGGCTGCTCCTCTTCTGATCCTGCTCTCTGCTGTGGCTTGGGAAAGCAGTAGAAGATGGCCCAGGTCCTTGGGCCCCTGCACCTGCATGGGAGACCCGGAAGAAGCTCCTGGCTCCTGGCTTCAGATTGGCACAGCCCCAACCATTGCGGCCAAGTGGGGAGTGAACCAGCAGATGGAAGACCTTTCTGTCTCTCCCTCTCTCTGTGGCTCTACCTCTCAAATAAATAAAATCTTTAAAAAAAATTCAGAAGACTTGGACCAATACCCACTCCCAGGCTTACTAGTAGGAAGCTGCATTGGAAGCACGGGGTAGCTGGGACTTGAACCAGAAGCTCCAGGGTGGGGCGTGGACATCCCCAAGCAGAGGCTCAGTCTGTGCCGCAGTCCAAGTGCCTCCCAGGACAGGCATCTTCACCTGTCCTGAGCGGGGCTTTGGTGGTAACAAAGCGTAATTCAGGGAGTCAATACGTGGGAGAAACTCTGGGAGAGCACCCGTTCTGAGCATGCCTGCAGAGTATCTCGTTTGCTCCCCAAATGCCCACAATAGCCAGGGTAGTGCCAGGCCAGCCAGGAGCCAGTCCTGCTCTCAGGATGCACATGGGTAGGAGCTGGAATCCAGCGCTCGCTGTGGGACGCGGGGACTCGAACCAGCCCTCACTGTGGGATGCAGGGACTCGAACCAGCCCTCGCTGTGGGACGCGCGTGTCCCGGGTGGTAACCGCTGCAGCACACCCCTGTCCAAAGCCCCAGGTTAGACCTGAGCACTGGCCACCTCACATGGAGGCGGCCCAGGTCTGCTGTGGCCCTCGGGGCGGGTTCCAGCTGCTGCCCGGCTGCTCAGCACACCGCTGCCCCACCCCACAGTAATCTGCTTCCCGGCTCCCGGGTAGCCTGCTCTGTGCCGGGCTGCTCCACTCGGCAGTTCTCAAGGCTCGTCGAGCTGTAGCAGGCTGAGGACGGGTTCGCGCACCTCGTGGGTGTCTGCCCGCTCCTCAGCTCTGGCTGTCAGTGCTGCTAGAAGATTCACGAACAAGTGTGTGGGGCGCACTTTCAGTTCTGGAGTGGATTTACTGGGTCACAGAGAATCAGCTTAACACCGTGAGAAGACATCAGACTTTCCAAGGCAGCAGGACATTGCTGTTCCCGGCAGACACATGAGGGTCCCAGGCTGCCCGTGTGTCCCAGCACTGGTCACTCCCCGGCTGCCCGTGTGTCCTAGCACTGGTCACTCCCTGGCTATCCGTGTGCCCCAGCACTGGTCACTCCCCGGCTGCCCGTGTGTCCCCAGCACTGGTCACTCCCAGGCTGTCCGTGTGTCCTAGCACTGGTCACTCCCAGGCTGTCCATGTCCCCTCCAGCACTGGTCACTCCCAGGCTGTCTGCCCAGCACTGGTCATTCCCAGGCTGTCCGTGTGTCCCAGCACTGGTCACTCCCAGGCTGTCCATGTGTCCCCAGCACCGGCCACTCCCATTCTGTCCATGTGTGTCCTATCACTGGTCACTCCCATTCTGTCCGTGTGTCCCCAGCACTGGTCACTCCCAGGCTGTCCGTGTGTCCTAGCACTGGCCACTCCCATTCTGTCCGTGTCCCCTCCAGCACTGGTCACTCCCAGGCTGTTCGTGTGTCCTAGCACTGGCCACTCCCATTCTGTCCGTGTGTCCTAGCACTGGTCACTCCCTGGCTATCTGTGTGTCCTAGCACTGGTCACTCCCAGGCTGTCCATGTGTCCCCAGCACTGGCCACTCCCAGGCTGTCCGTGTCCCCTCCAGCACTGGTCACTCCCTGGCTATCCGTGTGTCCTAACACTGGTCACTCCCAGGCTGTCCATGTGTCCCCAGCACTGGTCACTCCCAGGCTGTCCATGTGTCCCCAGCACTGGCCACTCCCAGGCTGTCCGTGTGCTCCCAGCACTGGTCACTCCCAGGCTGTCCGTGTGCTCCCAGCACTGGTCACTCCCAGGCTGTCCATGTGTCCCCAGCACTGGCCACTCCCAGGCTGTCCATGTGTCCCCAGCACTGGCCACTCCCAGGCTGTCCGTGTGCTCCCAGCACTGGTCACTCCCAGGCTGTCCATGTGTCCCCAGCACTGGCCACTCCCAGGCTGTCCGTGTGTCCCCAGCCCTGGTCACTCCCAGGCTGCCCATGTGTCCTAGCACTGGTCACTCCCCGGCTGTCCGTGTGTCCCCAGCCCTGGTCACTCCCAGGCTGCCCATGTGTCCTAGCACTGGTCACTCCCCGGCTGTCCATGTGTCCTAGCACTGGTCACTCCCAGGCTGTCCGTGTGTCCTAGCACTGGTCACTCCCAGGCTGTCCATGTGTCCTAGCACTGGTCACTCCCTGGCTATCCGTGTGCCCCAGCACTGGTCACTCCCAGGCTGCCCGTGTGTCCCCAGCACCGGCCACTCCCAGGCTGTCCGTGTCCCCTCCAGCACTGGTCACTCCCATTCTGTCCATGTGTCCTAGCACTGGCCACTCCCAGGCTGTCCGTGTGTCCTAACACTGGCCACTCCCAGGCTGTCCATGTGTCCCCAGCACCGGCCACTCCCAGGCTGTCCGTGTCCCCTCCAGCACTGGCCACTCCCATTCTGTCCGTGTGTCCTAGCACTGGTCACTCCCTGGTTATCCGTGTGCCCCAGCACTGGTCACTCCCAGGCTGTCCGTGTCCCCTCCAGCACTGGTCACTCCCATTCTGTCCATGTGTCCTAGCACTGGCCACTCCCAGGCTGTCCGTGTGTCCTAACACTGGCCACTCCCAGGCTGTCCATGTGTCCCCAGCACCGGCCACTCCCAGGCTGTCCGTGTCCCCTCCAGCACTGGCCACTCCCATTCTGTCCATGTGTCCTAGCACTGGTCACTCCCTGGCTATCCGTGTGTCCTAGCAATGGTCACTCCCTGGCTGTCCATGTGCCCCCTGCACTGGCCACTCCCAGGCTGTCCATGTGTCCCCAGCACTGGCCACTCCCAGGCTGTCCATGTGCTCCCAGCACTGGTCACTCCCAGGCTGTCCGTGTGTCCCCAGCCCTGGTCACTCCCAGGCTGTCCGTGTGTCCTAGCACTGGCCACTCCCATTCTGTCCATGTGTCCCCAGCACTGGCCACTCCCAGGCTGTCCGTGTCCCCTCCAGCACTGGTCACTCCCAGGCTGTCCGTGTGTCCTAGCACTGGCCACTCCCATTCTGTCCGTGTCCACTCCAGCACTGGTCACTCCCAGGCTGTCCGTGTCCCCTCCAGCACTGGTCACTCCCAGGCTGTCTGCCCAGCACTGGTCACTCCCAGGCTGTCCATGTGCCCCCTGCACTGGTTACTCCCAGGCTGTCCATGTGTCCTAGCACTGGCCACTCCCAGGCTGTCCGTGTGTCCTAGCACTGGCCACTCCCATTCTGTCCGTGTCCCCTCCAGCACTGGTCACTCCCAGGCTGTCCGTGTGCCCCAGCACTGGTCACTCCCAGGCTGTCCGTGTGTCCCCAGCACTGGTCACTCCCAGGCTGTCCGTGTGTCCCCAGCACTGGCCACTCCGACTGTTTCTGTGCCGAGTGTGCACCTCACACCAGGGCTGTTGCGGACTTCGCAATATGGCGTCTCCCGGTCTGTGAACCTACCCATTTTTCTCGTTAGTTTCTTCCCATCGCCAGTGTATGTATGCGTTTTTATTTACTGTGGATACTGGACCACTTTTTTTTTTTTAACAACTTAGATTTTTTATTGACTTTATTGATTTAAAAGGCAATGGTCAGGGCTGGGCGAGACACACACCAAGATCCTGAACTTTCTTCCGATTCTAGTAACACTGAATTAATTCCAACAGAATCACAAGAACTTGCTCCTCCGTCATGTCTGCCCCTCCCTCCCCGCCGTTGTCACCAATGCACCCTCACACATTCTGTACCATCCAGATGGGCCTCTGTGGTTTTTTCACAGATGTTTATTTTCTTCTAAAAGATTTATTAGTTTGAAAGGCAGAGCACCAGAGAGGGGGAGACACACACACAGAGTTCCTCCGTCTGCTGGTTCAGTCCCCAAACGCGCACAACAGGCGCAAGCCGGGAACCGAGCTCCGTCAGGTGTCGCTGGAGTGGAGCAGAGCAGCGGGGACGGACCCGCTGGGATAGGGGAGGCTGGCACTGCGAGCCACGGCTTAGCCCCTGTGCCACAGTGCCACAGTGCCAGCCTACACGGATCAGGTCGGGGAGAACTGGAAACGGAAATGCATTCGTGCTGCTGTGTGTGGTGGTCGCTTCTCTCCAACAACGTGTGATGCGTCCGGGCACGTAGGTGAATGTTCATAAACCTTGGCATTGTTTCTTTAAATAGTCTCCTCCCCTCCCCCTCCCCCCTCTGCACGTCCTGTGTCCTGCAGCTCGCGGGCGCTGTTCCTCCTCCCCTCCACGTCCCTTCCTCGGACAGGACGACCTGGGCTGACCTAACTTCCTTTCGCTGGCTCTTTTCAACCTGCCAGTAATCGTGTCCCTTTGTACTTCTCAACTCCAGGCTCTGTCTAGTACACTCTCTCTCCCGTTTATTTGAAAGGCAGAGATACAGGGATGGAGCTGGTTGGCTCCCAGTGGCCATCCAGCCCGACCTGAAGCCGGGAGCCGGGAGCTTCATCAGGTCCGGTGGGTGCAGGGGCTCCAGCACTCGGGCCATCTGCTGCTGCTTTCCCAGGACGGCAGAGAGCTGGAGCCTCCGGGACTCGAACCAGCACCACACGGAGGCTCAGCCCACTGCACAGCGCCAGCCCCCACCTTGCTCTCCCAGGCACACCAGCGGGAGCTGGAGCCGAGCGCCGGTCTGGGCTGGGGGCGCTGCAGGCAGGGCTTCCCCAGGCCCCTGTTCTGAGCAACAGTCTAAGCAGCTTGGCAGTGCTTGGGGGATGCCCAAGGCCGCCGTAGGAGACAGCCTGCCAGGCAACCTCACCGAGTGGTCCCCGGGCAGGTCACGGAGAGGGAGAGGCAGTGGGGACCCCAGGCGGGACCCGGAGAGAGGCAGCGGGAACCCTGGGCGGGACGCGGAGCGAGGCTCGGGCCGTTCTGGACACGACAGCCTCAGCACAGCCCGGCGGCCGCGTCGTTTTTTTTTTTTTTTTTTTTTTTTTTTTTTTTTTTTTTTTTTTTTTTTTTGCCAGGCAGAGTTAGACAGTGAGAGACAGAGAGAGAGGTCTTCCACCCGCTGCTTCACTTCCCAATTGGCCACAACTGCCGGATCCCGAGCCAGGAGCTTCCTCCAGGTCTCCCACGTGGGTGCAGGGGCCCAAGCACTTGGTCATCTTCCCCTGCTTTCCCAGGGCACAGCAGGGAGCTGGCTCGGAAGTGGAGCAGCCGGGACTCGAACCGGTGCCCACACAGGATGCCGGCAGTGCAGGCGGAGGCTTTACCCGCTACTCCACAGCGCCGGCCCTCCGCGATTCCTGCGTCCTTGTCCGTGCGGGCTCCTGGGCTTGGCGGTCAGCTGGCCGTGGACAAAGTCCCGCCGATGCCCGGGGCGCCCCCGACAGCCGAGTGGCCACCCCGCGTCCGTAGCCGGCGGGGACGCTCCGAGCAGCTGCAGAGCCGCAGCCCGTCCAGCGCCGCGGCCTCGGGGTCCACCGGACAGAGGCGGTCGTGCCGGGTCTCGCTTTCCTGGGCCCCGGCCGCGCAAGGGTCAAGGGGCGTTGTCACAGCAACAGGGGACGCCACGGCGTGCGCCCACCCTCCAGTTTCCCAGATGACCGGAGGAGCCCGGGGAGGCGGAGCCGTCGGCCCTGACGGACAGATCCCGGCCCGCCCACCTGCGTCGCGGTCAGCCCCGCAGCCCCGCCTCGCGGGATCTCGCGAGGTTTGAGCTCGCGTGGCGCCGCAGGGGCCGACGGTTCGGCGGCCGCGCTGCAGAGGGCCAAGATGGCGGCGGCGGCGGCCTCGCTTCGCGGAGCGGTGCTGGGCCCGCGGGGCGCGGGTCTCCCGGGCGCGCGTGCCCGGGGCCTGCTCTGCGGCGCGCGGCCCGCGCAGCTCCCGCTGCGGACGCCTCAGGTGAGCGCTGGCCGGGGCCTCGGCCGCCGCGCGGCTCCGCATCCCGGTGAAGGTCACGGCGGGGAGGCTCCGGGCGCGCGCCGGGGCGGGCATCAGGGGGCGCAGCCTGGCTCCCAGCGCCCCCGGCCCGGCCCGGCCCCTGCCGCCCGCCGACTTTGGCGCCCGCGAGCCGGGCCGGGCGCCGCCTCTTCCCTCCGGCGAGGCGCCCGGTCCGAGCGTGGGGGCGGCGGGCGGGCTCGCTGCCGGGCGGGCTGGGGGCTTCCTCCGAGGGGGCGCCCTGGACGGCTCCCGCCGCCGGCTGTGCAGACGGGGCTCGCGTCCCGAAGTGACCCCAGCCTGACCTCGGCCAGCTGCTGTGACCTTGGCCTGCCCCGGGATCTCTGGTCGCCTCGGCCGGACCCCCAGCTCGGAGCCGAATCGCGGCCTGGGGGTTAGCAGCGGCGGGGGCCGGGCGTCCCGGGGAGGGCGTCGGTGCCCTGCTGTCCGGCAGGCGCTGAGCGGAGCTCTTGCAGGCAGTGTCCTTGTCGTCGAAGGCTGGCGCTTCCCGCGGCCGAAAGGTGATGCTGTCCGCGCTGGGCGTGCTGGCGGCAGGGGGTGCGGGGCTGGCCGTGGCTCTGCACTCGGCCGTGAGCGCCACTGACCTGGAGCTGCATCCCCCCAGCTTCCCGTGGTCTCACCGCGGCCTGCTGTCTTCCTTGGACCACACCAGGTGTGCGGCAGGCGGGCTGGGGTGCTCTCTGGGCGGACCGAGGCGGCGGGCTCTGGCGCCCCTAACGCTCTCCCCCCTCTCCAGCATCCGGAGGGGCTTCCAGGTGTACAAGCAGGTGTGCTCGTCCTGCCACAGCATGGACTACGTGGCCTACCGCCACCTGGTGGGCGTGTGCTACACGGAGGAGGAAGCCAAGGCGCTGGCCGAGGAGGTGTGGGGCCGGGCGGGGGCCGGGCGGGGGCCGGGGCCGGGCGGCCGCAGGGTAGTGACGGCTGTCGGCGGCAGGTGGAGGTCCAGGACGGCCCCAACGAGGACGGGGAGATGTTCACGCGGCCCGGGAAGCTGTCGGACTACTTCCCCAAGCCGTACCCCAACCCCGAGGCTGCCAGAGCCGCCAACAACGGAGCCTTGCCCCCCGACCTCAGCTACATCGTGCGCGCCAGGTCTGGGGGTGCTCGCGGGGGGCGGGGGGGGCGGGAGTGCGGCCCCGCGCGGTGGCTGAGCAGCTGCGGTCTGGTTCCAGGCACGGCGGCGAGGACTACGTCTTCTCCTTGCTCACGGGCTACTGCGAGCCGCCCACGGGGGTGTCGCTGAGAGAAGGCCTCTACTTCAACCCCTACTTCCCTGGCCAGGCCATCGGCATGGCCCCGCCCATCTACACGGAAGTCCTGGAGTTTGACGACGGTGAGACCCCTCCTTGGGGAGCCCTCCCCAACCCCAGGGGGCACCCCGTGGGTTCCCTGGCTGGGCATTCCGGAGCCATTGGTGCTCTGGGACGTGTCAGGGCTGGGGCAGCCCAGGGTGCTGGGGCAGCAGCTCCCAAGGATAACTCCCACCACTTGTCCTTGGCCTAGGCACCCCGGCCACCATGTCCCAGGTAGCCAAGGACGTGTGCACCTTCCTGCGCTGGGCATCTGAGCCGGAACACGACCACCGCAAACGCATGGGGCTCAAGGTGAAAGGGCGGAGCCAGGGCCGCGGTGGGGGGCCGCGGAGGGGCCAGGCGCTCCCCTCCCTCCCCTGAGCCCGCTCTCTCCGCAGATGTTGATGATGGTGGGCTTGCTGCTGCCCCTCTTGTACGCCATGAAGCGGCACAAGTGGTCAGTCCTCAAGAGTCGGAAGTTGGCGTATCGGCCACCCAAGTGACCCTGTCCGGTGTGTGCTTGTCATCTTGCCTGAAGAGGCCCTCGGGCCCAGGAGCTGTCCCCAGCCTGAGGAGGCTTCAGCTGGCCCCCCCGGCCACGCCCTCTTCATCTGGGACAAGAGGGGAGGGGCGGGAGACCAGGGTGCAGCCTGGGGTCCTCGCAGCCTGGGGTCCTCGCGTCAGCCCCGTCACGGGAATAAATTAATTAAAACTTGTCAGCGTATTCGATGGCGCTGTTCTGTGAAAGGCCTCTGTCCTCACAGGGCACTCTGGGACCAGACCGCCCCACCAGAGCTCCCAGGATGCCTTGGGCCCTGCGGCCAGCCCCGCCCTCCACCGGGTGGTACCTGGGTGGGTATGGGAGTGGGAGGGAGTGGCAGTATGTAGCAGGGTGGGTGTGCCCAGGCACAGGCTGGCCCTGGTCCAGGAGCCCAGTGACCTGCCAGCAGCAGCAGCCAGACAACGAGGAGCGGGGCCCCTGGGAAGGGTCTGGCGTGAGCAAGGGCTGCTGGGGGGCGGGGGGCAGGGAACAGCCCCCTGCCGCGTAAGCCATCAGCAAGAGTGCACTCCAGTGTCCCTTGGTTTCAACTGCACAGCTGTGGGAGGGAACAAGGAGTTTGTTTTTTAGGATTTATTTATTTATTTGACAGTTACGCAGAGAGAGACAGGTCTTCCATCCGCTGGTTCACTCCCCAGTTGGCCGCAATGGCCGGAGCTGTACCGGGGATCAAGGGATTTCTGACAGGACAGTGTCCTGGCCACCATGGCCGCTGGGTGGCCCAGGCCAGACTGCTGTTAGTGGCTGGGTTTAGACAGCAGCACGTCAGTGACAAGGGGGTTGTGTGACCTCAGTGGTAGCACAGGCTTGAAGACACCCCGGGTGGGTGGGTGGGCTGAGCTCCTCTTGGGGTGCCTGCGTCCCGGGTGAAGTCCTGCCTCTGCTTTGCTTCCAGCTTCCGCTGCTCCCGGAAGGCAGGCGTTGGCCCAAGGGCTTGGGGTGCTGCGCCTGACTCTGGCTCTGGCGTGGCACTTGGGGAGGCAGCTGGCAGGCAGAGATCCCTCAGCCTTAAAAACTTTTTATACTCTTACCCGAAAACATCCCAAAGCCCACTGCTGCTGCTGGTGGTCTGTCATCCTGCCTGGAGCAGGAACGAGCGGAAGAGGACGGTGTGCCTAGGGGCCCAGAGGGCCTGCATGGGCGCCCCAGCCCCAGCCCGGTGGTCGGCAGCAGCCAGGGAGGCCCCTGGAGGCCCGGGGTCTGCTCCTCCGAGACTGGGGGCCCACGTCTGGGCTCCAGCAGTGAGGGCCTGCCCTGCCCCTCCTGCAGCTCTGGCTCCTCACACAGGTGGGGAAGGGGACACAGGCGCTGCTAAGTGTTTTTAATGACTGGCTGCGCTCCCTTCCCCCGAACCCCGAGTCTCCACCCCCTGAGAAGTTCACGCAGCAATCCAGGGCCCTGGGCCTTCAAGGACGTTGTCACCTGGGAGGAGAGACAGTCATTCCTGCTGTGCTGCGGCCCCGCCCCCACCCCACCGCACCCCCAGTACCTGTGGTGGGTCTAGGTGGAGGCTGGGGGCGGGGGGTCCCAAACACAGGGCCGCTGGGTGCTGCACATCTCACAGCCAGGGCGGCTCAGCGCGTTGATGAAGGTGCAGGACGGACAGGGCCAGCCGGGCTGGGGAGGCGGGGACACAGCGGCTGCTTCCTGTTCCTCCCAGTGCCCACAGCTGCCCAGGCTCGGCCCATTCCCACCTTGCCCACTCGGGTCCCTGCCCACCTGAAGAGGGCTGGGGAGGCTGGAGCTGGCCGGCTGAGGAGCCCGGGGCGGCGCCAGTGGCTGAGGACACGAGTGTCCCGTGTCCCCACCTGTCTTCAGGGGGCGCTGAGGGCTGCATCCTGCAACAGGAGGTGGGGCTCAGGGCCGCCCCAGGCTGTAGCCCACCGCCCGCCCCACCCACGTCAGGGACTGGCCTGGGGCCTCTCGAGGGGCTGAGAGCAGGTAGAGGAAGGCGGGGTCCCCGTCCTGCCGGACGCCGTAGGAGGCCAGGCTGCGCTCAGGCACGCAGAGGCATCGCCCGATGACCCAGCGCTGCACCGCGGGCGGGAAGCCAAACTCCGAGAACACCTAGGAGCAAAGCGTCACGGCTGGGCGTGTCCCCGGGTGGCCTCCCCAGCGGCAGCCCTGGTTGTGCCCACCTGCTCCTGGAGCGCTGCGATGGTGCAGTGGGGGTGCACCTGCAGCGAGACGTGGGCCGAAGACGCCGTGGACGCGGCCGACGCGGCATCCTCGACCGTGACCTGCAGCCTGACCAGAACCAGAATCGGGATGGCCCGGGCCCTCGGGAGGGGCGGGGCTGGGTGACGGGAGGGGCGGGCTGGGTGACGGCGGCGTCTCGGGCCTCACCTGAGCGGACCAGGCGGAAAGCAGGACTCCTGGAGCTGAACGCTGAGGGCCGCGTGATGCTGGGCCAGGGCGGCGGCCGTCTGGGCCGCCCCCTCCTCATCCCCGTCTGCGATGGCCCTGGCCAGGCGTCCTACCAGCTCTTCTGCAGGGCGAGGGAGGACAGCTGTCCCAGCCGGGCACTCGCTGCTCCCCCAACCCTGCCTGGCTTCCTGCCCTTACCTTTCTCCATCAGGTCTCCAGGGCTCCAGGGCGGATCCGCCTCGGGTTGGGGGGCTTTGGGCGCGAGGGCCACAGGGGGACTGGGTGGGGAAACAGGGCACGTCCCTGGGCTCTGGGCTGGGGGTGGGCTGCCACTGCCTGGGAGGAAAGATGGCAATGGGCGGGGCCTCTGGCCAGGCCTTTGTCTTCTCACCTCACCTTCCCAAGTCGTCCCCTGCCTGACCCTTGCGGATGCTAGAAGTGAACTCGTGTGGTCTTTGGGACCTGGACACCTTCAGACCCCTTCTGCTGTTGGGCCCGCGTGCCAGCCCCACTCCACACAGGACGGCCAAAGCTGCCCAACAGGCAGCCCCGCAGTCGGGGGCCCCCCTCTCCCCACAGCACTGCACACGCCCGGCCCAGTCCATGGCAGCTCTGGTGGCCTCGGCCCTCCCAGCCGCCAGTGCTGTGCCTGTGCGTCCAGGGCCCTGCAGAGCCCCTTACGGCTCTCGGCCACACGGCTCCTGCTAGGAATCTCGAATCTCACTGGTCTCACCCGCTCAGCAAGGCCCCTTCCAGCTCCCGCGCGCCCATTCTGTTCACATCTAATGGGAGTTTGTTTACACTCTGTCCTCGATGTCTGCTTCCCTTCTAGTTGGTTTGTTTTAGACTTTAGATTATTTATCTGAAAGACAGAGGCAGAGAGAGGGGGCCACAACAGCCAGAGTGTGCCGATCCGAAGCCAGGAGCCAGGAGCTTCTTCCAGGCCTCCCACACGGGTGCAGGGTTCCAAGCACTTGGGCCATCTTCCACTGCAGAGAGCTGGATCAGAAGTGGAGCAGCCGGGACTAGAACCGGCGCCCATATGGGACACCGGTACTGCAGGTGCAGCTTTTACCTGCTACGCCACAGTGCCTGCCCCGCTTCTAGTTTTTTGACAAGTGGGAGGCAGAGGAAGCTTCAGGAGGGTGGGAGCTTGAGGCCTTATTCATGCTAAAGGGGCATCTGCAAAGACTTATGGTCTTGAGAGAAGTTTGTGTAAAATTTGCATGGATTCAAAAAATTTGGGGTGGGGCTACCACCTACAACACCGGCATCCCGCATGCGTGCCAGTTCGCGTCCCAGCTACTCCATTTCTGATCCAGCTCTCTGCTGATGGCCTGGGAAAAGCAGTGGAAGATGGCCCAAGTGCTTGGGCCCCTGCACCCACGTGAGAAACCTGGAGGAGTATACTAGCTTCAGCCTGGCCCAGTCCTGGCCACTGAAGCCAATGGGGGGCAAACTGGCAGATGGAAGATGGGTATCTCTCTCTCTCCCTCCTCTTTATAACTCTGGCTTTAAGACAAGATTTTATATATATATATGGCCAGCACTGTGGCGTGGCGGGTTACGCTCTGCCTGCGACATCAGCACCCAATGCTAGCACTGGTTCCAGACCAGCGGACCTGGCTCTCTGCTGGATCGGCGGGAGATAGCCAAGGGCTTGGGCCCCTGCACCCATGGGGGAGACCTGGAAGAAGCTCCTGGCTCCAGGCTTCAGCCTGGGACGACCTGTATGGCCATTTAAGGAGTGACCCAGCGGACGGGAGATTCTCTCACTCTGCCTTTCAAATAAACTAAAACAAAAAAAAGATATTTTGTACCAAATAAGCTTCTCTTTTAATTTCAATTTTTCTACGAATTTTTTAGTGCCCTCGTATCTGGTGGGTGACTGACTGCCTGGGCCTCTCACACATCACTTGTCTGGTCTGCTTTGTGTGTCCTCCTTCCCTCCCTGGTGTACACCACGGGCCTGGCCCTCTCCTCTCTCCTGATGATCTTGGATGACTGCTACTCCCAGATGCCTCGGACCCAACCCCCTGCCGTCCTCTCACACAGGCCCTCTACCCAGGAACTCTGCACTGCCACTGAAACAGCGGGAACCCAACTCACTTCGCCACCCAATCATCTCACACCCTTCCTCCCCGCCATCTGCACCAGCCAGTACCACACAGGGCCTCACTGAGTCAGAGCAGTGTGAATCTAAGCCGGTCACTCCACCACCCGACACCACCGCGCTCTCCAGGGGACACCCGTCACTCCACCACCCGACACCACCGCGCTCCTGAGGGACACCCATCACTCCACCACCCTACAGCACTGCGCTCTCCAGGGGACACCTGTCACTCCACCACCTGATACCACCACACTCCTGGGGACACCTGTCCCTCCACCACCCGACACCACCACTGAGGGGACACCCGTCACTCCAACACCCGACACCACCACACTCCTGGGGACACCTGTCACTCCACCACCCGACACTACCACACTCCTGGGGACACCTGTCACTCCACCACCCGACACCACCACTGCTGAGGGACACCTGTCACTCCACCACCCGACACCACCATACTCCAGAGGACACCTGTCCCTCCACCACCCGACACCACCACACTCCAGGGGACACCTGTCCCTCCACCACCCGACACCACACTCCTGGGATACCTGTCACTCCACCACCCAACACCACCACTGAGGGGACACCCGTCACTCCACCACCTGATACCACCACACTCCAGGGGACACCTGTCACTCACCACCCGACACCACCACTGAGGGGACACCTGTCACTCCACCACCCGACACCACCACACTCCAGGGGACACCCGTCACTCCACCACCCGACACCACCACACTCCAGGGGACACCCGTCCCTCCACCACCCGACACCACCACACTCCAGGGGACACCTGTCACTCACCACCCGACACCACCACACTCCAGGGGACACCTGTCACTCCACCACCCGACACCACCACACTCCTGGAGACACCTGTCACTCCACCACCCGACACCACCACACTCCTGGGGACACCTGTCACTCACCACCCGACACCACCACACTCCTGGGGACACCTGTCACTCCACCACCCAACACCACCACTGAGGGGACACCCGTCACTCCACCACCTGATACCACCACACTCCAGGGGACACCTGTCACTCACCACCCGACACCACCACTGAGGGGACACCTGTCACTCCACCACCCGACACCACCACACTCCAGGGGACACCTGTCACTCCACCACCTGATACCACCACACTCCAGGGGACACCTGTCACTCACCACCCGACACCACCACTGAGGGGACACCTGTCACTCCACCACCCGACACCACCACACTCCAGGGGACACCTGTCCCTCCACCACCCGACATCACCACACTCCAGGGGACACCTGTCACTCACCACCCGACACCACACTCCTGGGGACACCTGTCACTCACCACCCGACACCACACTCCAGGGGACACCTGTCACTCCACCACCTGATACCACCACACTCCAGGGGACACCTGTCACTCACCACCCGACACCACCACTGAGGGGACACCTGTCCCTCCACCACCCGACACCACCACACTCCAGGGGACACCTGTCACTCCACCACCTGATACCACCACACTCCAGGGGACACCTGTCACTCACCACCCGACACCACCACTGAGGGGACACCTGTCACTCCACCACCCGACACCACCACACTCCAGGGGACACCTGTCCCTCCACCACCCGACACCACCACACTCCAGGGGACACCTGTCACTCCACCACCCGACACCACCACACTCCTGGGGACACCTGTCACTCCACCACCCGACACCACCATACTCCAGAGGACACCTGTCCCTCCACCACCCGACACCACCACACTCCAGGGGACACCTGTCCCTCCACCACCCGACACCACACTCCTGGGATACCTGTCACTCTACCAACCGACACCACACTCCAGGGGACACCTGTCACTCTGCCACCCGACACCACCACACTCCTGGGGACACCCGTCCCTCCACCACCCGACACCACCACACTCCAGGGGACACCTGTCACTCCACCACCCGACACCACCACGCTCTCCAGGGGACACCCGTCCCTCCACCACCCGACACCACCACACTCCAGGGGACACCTGTCACTCACCACCCGACACCACCACACTCCAGGGGACACCTGTCACTCCACCACCCGACACCACCACACTCCAGGGGACACCTGTCACTCACCACCCGACACCACCACACTCCAGGGGACACCTGTCACTCCACCACCCGACACCACCACACTCCTGGAGACACCTGTCACTCCACCACCCGACACCACCACACTCCTGGGGACACCTGTCACTCACCACCCGACACCACCACACTCCTGGGGACACCTGTCACTCCACCACCCAACACCACCACTGAGGGGACACCCGTCACTCCACCACCTGATACCACCACACTCCAGGGGACACCTGTCACTCACCACCCGACACCACCACTGAGGGGACACCTGTCACTCCACCACCCGACACCACCACACTCCAGGGGACACCTGTCACTCCACCACCTGATACCACCACACTCCAGGGGACACCTGTCACTCACCACCCGACACCACCACTGAGGGGACACCTGTCACTCCACCACCCGACACCACCACACTCCAGGGGACACCTGTCCCTCTACCACCCGACATCACCACACTCCAGGGGACACATGTCCCTCCACCACCCGACACCACCACACTCCTGGGGACACCTGTCCCTCCACCACCCGACACCACCACACTCCAGGGGACACCTGTCACTCCACCACCTGATACCACCACACTCCAGGGGACACCTGTCACTCACCACCCGACACCACCACTGAGGGGACACCTGTCACTCCACCACCCGACACCACCACACTCCAGGGGACACCTGTCCCTCCACCACCCGACACCACCACACTCCAGGGGACACCTGTCACTCCACCACCCGACACCACCACACTCCTGGGGACACCTGTCACTCCACCACCCGACACCACCATACTCCAGAGGACACCTGTCCCTCCACCACCCGACACCACCACACTCCAGGGGACACCTGTCCCTCCACCACCCGACACCACACTCCTGGGATACCTGTCACTCTACCAACCGACACCACACTCCAGGGGACACCTGTCACTCTGCCACCCGACACCACCACACTCCTGGGGACACCCGTCCCTCCACCACCCGACACCACCACACTCCAGGGGACACCTGTCACTCCACCACCCGACACCACCACGCTCTCCAGGGGACACCCGTCCCTCCACCACCCGACACCACCACACTCCAGGGGACACCTGTCACTCACCACCCGACACCACCACACTCCAGGGGACACCCGTCACTCCACCACCCGACACCACCACACTCCAGGGGACACCCGTCCCTCCACCACCCGACACCACCGCGCTCCAGGGGACACCTGTCACTCACCACCCAACACCACCACACTCCAGGGGACACCTGTCACTCCACCACCCGACACCACCACACTCCTAGGGACACCTGTCACTCACCACCCGACACCACCACACTCCTGGGGACACCTGTCACTCCACCACCCGACACCACCACACTCCTGGGGACACCTGTCCCTCCACCACCCGACACCACCACACTCCAGGGGACACCTGTCACTCCACCACCTGATACCACCACACTCCAGGGGACACCTGTCACTCACCACCCGACACCACCACTGAGGGGACACCTGTCACTCCACCACCCGACACCACCACACTCCAGGGGACACCTGTCCCTCCACCACCCGACACCACCACACTCCAGGGGACACCCGTCACTCCACCACCCGACACCACCACGCTCCTGGGGACACCTGTCACTCCACCACCCGACACCACCACACTCCAGGGGACACCTGTCCCTCCACCACCCGACACCACACTGCTGAGGGACACTTCCCACCACGCCCAGGCCCTGTGTGCTCTTCCTCTCCACACCTGCGTGGTTCAGTGCCGCTCAGCCTCTACCTCTGACCCTGTCTCCATCTGCTCCCTCCTGGGACCCTCCGCAGGCCCCTGCTGAGGGGAGGGCGGGCCCAGCCCCCCAGTCTCATCCGGGGCTGGGAGGCCGGGCCACCTACCATTCTGGCCCTCCATGGCGGCGCCCTGGACCAGGGCTGCCCACCGCTGAGCTTCCTGAGGGTTGAGGAAACGCAGGCTCATGGTGCCCGGCCCTCCTGGGGGGGGCTGCAGCTCATGCTGGCCGGGGCCTCGGACGGTGTAGCAGACGGAGTCCAGGGGCCACTGCCAACTGACCTGAGGAGGAGAGTCCAGGCTCAGGGCCTCCCACCCGGGCCCCGCTCAGCACGACGCCGAAGGACCGGAAGAGACAGCGGGAGGCCACCTGCACGGTTCCCTCCTTTCCGCGAGTCGGGACGCGGGTACCCGCACGACCCCCGGGTTCCAGTGAGAAAACACAAACTGGGCAAAGCATGCCGCCCTCACTCACCGCCCCCGGCCCCGCGCCCTGCAGCTCCAGCCTGAAGCGGCCAGGCCGCGCGGGGTCCGCGCTCAGCTGCAGCCTCCGCAGCTGCGCCTCGGCGTCGGGCGCGGCGCCCAGCGGCCTCACGGCGGCGTGCACGGCCAGGAGCGCCGCGGCCGAGCCCGGCTCAGAGGACGCCACCACCGCCCCGCCGGCCGGCGGCGCCATCTCCAGTCCGGCTGGGCCGCGGCGCTCCGAGTCCGCTTCCGGGTGATCGGGCCGCCAAGCGCCCGCACCGGCCAGAAACGCGAGCCGCGGGCCCGGGGTTCCGGGGCGGCCAGCTGACCCGCCCGCTTGGCCTGGCACGCACACGGTCCGGGCGAGGCCAGCGGCCGGTCCGAGGCCTGAGCGGGACAGCCGAGGAGGCTACGTCTGAGCTGGGGGCCGAGGCACCGGCCACAACTGGAAGACAGGGTCGGACGGGCGGGACGCCGGCCTGGCGGCGAGTACCTGCCAGCGCCGCTCCGAACGCCTCCCTTCCCACCGGCGCCCGGCAGCCGGGCAGGGGCCCCGCCTACACGGCGCGCTCGCGGGGCCGCGGCCCCTGGGAACTGGGTCGGCGACCCCCTCCCTTCAGGGGCGGAACGGGGGAAGCCGCGACCAATGAGTGCCAGCGAGGAAGGCGGGTTCGTAGGGCCAGGGGAGTGACAGGCAGGTCCTCTAGCCAGTAGCAATGCAAGTAGGACTGAGCGGCGGGCAAGCCCACCAATGGCTATTCGAGCTTTGGATCCCGGAGGCTGGAGCGGGCCATTCACAGGCGTGAGGCCGGGCCTGACGGACGCTTGTTGTTGTCCGGCTGGGGGAGGCGGAGGTCGCTGGTTCGCTCGCTCGCTGGGCCGATCTGTGGCGGTCGGCGGCAGGTCGGTCGCGAGAGCGGGCGCTGTGCAGCGGGGTGAGGCTATGTCGCGGTGGCAACCCGGATGGGCCGGCAGGGCCGGGAGTAACGGGACGTCGCCGCGGAGCTTCCCCCGGATACAGTGCGGCCTGCGCGCGGGCCACGGCGCCGCCCTCCGGTCCTGAGGCGCCCTCGCCGCGCGGAGCCTGTCGCGCCTTCGCACCGTCCCCCGCGCCTAGCGGCCCGGCACGGCCCGGCCCAGCCCAGGCAGGTGGGTGTCCGCCCTGTGCCCCTCAGCCCCCGGCGGCCGCGCCCGGCGCCCGGCGCACTGCCTCCTGGGACTTGAAGTCCGGCCGCGCCGGCGCACTGCCTCCTGGGACTCGGAGTCCCGGCCGCGGCAGGTGCGCCGTGCACGGGGCCGGGGTCTCCACGCCCGCGGGGCTTCTCCCGCTCCCTGCCGGACGGCAGCCCGCAGGACGGGAGGCGCCCCTGGCGGGGCCCCTAGGTTCCTGACCGGCGTGCAGGTTCTTGCCTGCGTTGGGGAGCCGCAGCCCGTGGTGGGGGGCCGCGGCTTTTTGTGGATGGGGAGGGAGAAACTGAACCAGCAGCTCCAGGGTGAACAAGACCCCCAGTGGGCTCCCAGCCTGACCCCGGAAATGGCGGGGCAGCGCAGGGGTGTGGCGGAACGGGGGCCGGGGGCTGCCACCCCCGGGCGACGGGACATCCCCGCTGCTCTGGCTGCTCGGAGGCAGGCTGGGGACAGGCCACAGCGGCTCCTCCTAGCGGGAAGGTGTCCATGGCCGCGCCTGCTCGCCCTAGGCAGCACCGGCCCCTCCGGGGCACCGCCCCTCCCAGGACATGAAGCTGCTGGAGAACTCCAGCTTCGAGGCCATCAACTCGCAGCTGACTGTGGAGACCGGGGACGCGCACATCATCGGCAGGTGAGGCCAGCGTCTCCGGGCCCCCGGGCCCCCTGCCCCGGCCCGAGCTGGGCCTGGAGGCCCGGTGCTCCATGGTCCCGCCCGCGCCCCTAGGATCGAGAGCTACTCGTGTAAGATGGCGGGAGACGACAAGCACATGTTCAAGCAGTTCTGCCAGGACGGGCAGCCCCACGTGCTGGAGGCGCTGTCCCCACCCCAGACCTCGGGCCTCAGCCCCAGCAGGTGAGCGGCGCGGGGTGGGGGTAGGGGGCAGCCTGGGACGGAGGCTGGGCGGGGGCTGGGCTGGGGAGCGTGGGACGAGGGTGGGACAAGGCTTTGCCTGTTGCAGGCTGAGCAAGAGCCAAGGAGGTGAGGACGAGGGCCCGCTGAGCGACAAGTGCAGCCGCAAGACCCTCTTCTACCTGATCGCCACGCTCAACGAGTCCTTTAGGCCCGACTACGACTTCAGCACCGCCCGCAGCCACGAGTTCAGCAGGGAGCCCAGCCTGAGCTGGGTGAGGGTCGGGTCCCCCAGGCCGCCCCCGCCCCCGCCGCCCACCCGTGCCGCCCCGGGCCCCCGTCAGCTGTGCTGTGCCCGCCCCAGGTGGTGAACGCCGTCAACTGCAGCCTGTTCTCGGCCGTGCGGGAGGACTTCAGGGCCCTGAAGCCGCAGCTGTGGAACGCGGTGGACGAGGAGATCTGCCTGGCCGAGTGTGACATCTACAGGTGGGCCGGCTGCCCGCAGGTGGGGCCCGTGCCCGCGCCCCGGGGCCTCACGCCACCCCTCGCCCTCACCCCGCAGCTACAACCCAGACCTGGACTCGGACCCGTTCGGGGAGGACGGCAGCCTCTGGTCCTTCAACTACTTCTTCTACAACAAGCGGCTCAAGCGCATCGTCTTCTTCAGCTGCCGCTCCATCAGGTTGGTCCGCCCGGCCCGGCCCGCGGCAGAGCAGGGGGAGGGGAGGAGGGGCTGAGAGCGCCCCCGTGTCTCCGCAGCGGCTCCACCTACACCCCCTCGGAGGCCGGCCACGAGCTGGACATGGACCTGGGGGAGGAGAGCGGGGGTGGAGGCAGTGAGGCCGCGGCCGAGGAGACCAGTGCCATGGAGGACAGGTGTGTGACGGGGGCTGCGGCTCAGGTCCCCAGGGCCTGGGACGGGTGGGACGGGGGCGGGGGTCCTGTGCCCGGCCTCCTGCGTGGTGGCCCCTCAAGGCTTGCCGTGTGCCGACCTCTGCCAGAGTCCCGGTGATTTGTATGTGACGAGGAGGAGAGCAGAGGCCCCAGCTTCATCCAGCTTCAACCAAGCCTGGACCTGCTCCGCTGAGGGTCCCAGGGCCGTCCCAGCTGCTGGCCAGACCCTGCACTGCCCAAGGCCACTCCTGCCTAGCCCTTTGGCTGCAGCCTGTGGACTCCACTCAGCCACAGGCTCCTGCTGCCCACACAACCGCCACAGGCAGGGGCGGCTGCACCACAGAGTTTATTTTTGTACTTCCTTCTGGGCCGACGGTCGCAGACCCCTGCCAGCGGGACCCAGCGGTCACCGGCTTTGACCTTGGGTGGCCCGTGGCGCCCACCTGTGCCCCCCACCTCGCCCGTCGGGCCGCGTGCACTGAGTGTCACTTCGCTGCAGCTCATTTGTTTCAAATAAAAGTTTGCGTGACTCGGTGTGGACCTCATTGCGGCGCGGGGGCGGGGCCTGCGTGGGGGCGGGGCCTGCGTCCGCTGGAATCCTAGCAACGGCCCCTGCCCGGGCGGCTCCCAGGGCTGTTGGACCCTCGGCTGCCAAGATGGAGGGGGAGGCCCTGGACGCGAGCAACCCTCTATCAGCCGAAGGCGACAGCCTGGTCTTGGACGTGGACCTGTACGACACGGACACCTACGACGTCCCAGACCCCGGGCTGCTCTCAGAAGAGGACGGTGAGGCCCTGCCGGGGAGCGGGGCCCGCGGGGGCTGGGCCCCCGGGCTGACGGCGCCTGCCGCCCACAGAGCTGTACTTCACCGAGCCGGAGCGCAACCTGCAGTTTTTTGCCAGCAACCAGAGGTGGCAAAACCTGACCTTGCGCGCCCGCGCCCGCCAGCTGTGGCTGCTTCTACGCACGGGCCTTCGCGACATCGTGGAGAAGGTGCAGCCTGTCCCAGCGCGTGCGGGGGCCCCCAGCGCAGACTCCCCAAAACCCCGGGCAGCCGCGCTCCTCCCGTCGTGACCGCAGGCCTGCCGTCCCCGCCCGCAGGAAAAGAGGGCCGAGCTGCGCGTGGCGCGCCTGACGCACGGCTTGGAGCCCCTGCGCTGCCTGGAGGTCGCAGCCGGGCCGCGCTCCGTGGCGCTGGACCCCGTGGGAGGACGCTTGGTGGTGCTGGACGGCGAGTGCCGCCTGCACCTGCACAGAAAAGACGGCTGGGCGCAGGGCAAGCTGCTGGCCCCCGTGGCTCTTACGGGGCTGGTGGCCGTGCTGGGCCCTCTGGGTGCGGTGGGCCGCTTTGTAGGCTGGGGTCCCCAGGGGCTGGCCATCCTACGGCCTGACCTCAGTCTGCTATGGCTGAGCAAGCCTGGGGCAGACAGACCGCCGAGCGACGAGACCACTTGCTGCCTGCCGGTGCCCGACCTGGGGCTACTGCTGGTGGCCCAGGCGAGCGGCGGCCTGGCGCTTTGGAAGTTCCGCTCAGGCGGTCGCCGCCTGGTGCCGCGAGGGTCACCCCTGCAGCCACCGGCCGGCCTGGAGGGGCCGCTCCAGCGCCTAGCTCTGTGGCCTGCGCCACCCCACTGCGTCCCGCGCTGTGTGGCCGCCTACGGCTCTGCTGCTCTCACCTTGGACCTTCAGGAGTGGGCGCTAGTGGACGTGCGCCGGGATCTGCACAAAACGTGAGGACGCCTGGGCGCAAGCGGCCGTGAGATGGGGCCTCTGGGGAGAGCCACGGGCGGGGCAGGGGGCGCGCCAGGCACGCACGCCACCACGCCGCATCTCCCGCGCCCACAGCACCATCTCAGACCTGGCGTATTGCGAGGATGCGGAGGTCATGGTGACGGCCTCGCGGGACACCACAGTGAAGGTGTGGGAAGCCGACTGGCAGATCCGGATGGTGTTCGTGGGCCACACAGGTGGGGTGCGGCGTCTCCGCCAGCCCTGGCCAGGCTTTGCTGCACTCGCCACAGCCAGGCCGACGACGCCCTAACCCTCCGGGCGGATGCGCCCGAGTGACCCGCGCCCCTCCCGCAGGCCCAGTGACTGCTATGACCGTGCTCCCGAACACAACGCTGGTAGTGTCCGCCTCGCAGGACGGCACGCTGCGCACGTGGGACCTGCAGGCGGCGGCGCAAGTGGGCGAAGTGTCTCTGTGCTACTGGTGTCAGGATGCGCTGTCCGCGCGCGTGAACCGCCTGCTGGCCCCGGCTGGCCCCGGCTGGCCCGTGCTGTCGCTGTGCGCCACCGGCGTGGGGCTGTGGTGCCTGCGAGAGCTCCACTCACCGCTGGCACAGCTGCCCGCACCTGTGCTGCACCTGCAGGTGGCGCCCCCGCTGCCCGCGCCTGAATACCCGTCGCTGCCCGCGCGCCTTGTGTGTGCGTGCGCGGACGGCTCGGTCTACCTGGTGTCGGCAGTGACCGGGCGCTTAGTGAGCGCACTGCTGCTGGAGCCCGAGGACCTGGCGGCCAGCGTGGCCTACTGCCTGCCCCGCGAGGCACTGTGGCTGCTGACGCGCGCCGGGCACCTGGTGCTCGCCAACGCCGCGCGCTGCCCCATGCGCGTGCTGTACCGCTCGCGCCCGCCGCCGCCCCCGGCGCCGCAGCCCTGCTGCCTGCACCTTTACAGCCACCTCACGGACCCCAGAGCCGCGTTCGCCTCCTGGGAGGCCGTGCGCGAGCGCGGGGGCGAGCCGCGCCACAGCGCCGCGTCCTGGGCCTGGAAGAACAAGAACCGGTGGGTGCCGGAGCTGGCCCGAGGGCTGGGAGGGCGGCCGGGGACCGGGCCCGCGCCAACACGCCCTGTGGCCACCGCAGGTACCTGCTGGTGGTCGGGTACTCGGACGGCTCGCTGTCGGTCCTCGAAGGGCCCACGTCCAAGGCCGTCTTCCACACGGAGGCACACAGCCCGGGCCCGGTCACAGCCATCGCATCCACCTGCAGCAGCATTGTGACTTCCGGTCAGTCCCTGCTGTCCTGCCCCAGGGCGGGTCTTGGCCTGGGAGACCCCCGGGGGCCCAGCCCCGGCTCCCGACACCCGTCCCACAGGCGGAGACCTGACGGTGAAGATGTGGCGCGTCTTCCCCTACGCCGAAGAGAGCCTGAGCCTGCTGCGGACTTTCTCCTGTTGCCACCCCGGCGCCTGGCTCTGCGCGCTGGGCAGACGCGTCACCGTGGGCTTCGAGGCCCCGGAGAGCGCCACCTACGGCCTGGTGCAGTTCGGCCTGGGCAGTGAGCGGCGCTGCGACCACCGGCCCCAGGATGACCCCCTGGACCACATCACGGGTGAGGGCGCGAGCCAGTGGCCAGGCCTGGGCCGCCGTGCTGGCCTGCGTGCTGACCTGGAGCCCCCCGCAGGCCTGTGCTGCTGCCCCACACTCAAGCTCTACGCCTGCTCCAGCCTGGACTGCACCGTCCGCATCTGGACCGCCGACAACCGCCTGCTGCGGTGGGCAGGGCGCGGGGCCGGGCTGGGGCGTCCGGGTGGAGCACAGCTGCTGGGCTCCACTGGGGGGGCAGGTCCCGGCCCTGCTGCTGCCTCAGTTTCCCTCTCTGACTGGACTCTGGCCCCTGGGCACCCTGCAGGCTCCTGCAGCTGGGCGGTGCCCCGCAGGCCCTGGCCTTTTGCAACAACAGTGGAGACCTGGTGCTGGCACTGGGCTCCCACCTCTGCCTGGTGTCCCACAAGCTGTACCTGCCCACGTCCTACCTGGTTAAGGTGTGCGGGGAGGGAGGAGTTGACAGGGGGGCTGCTGCAGGTACTTGTCCCCCACCCAGGCCAGGAATCTGGGTTTCTCGCCCCTGTTCAGAAGCTGTGCATGAAGGAACCTGACGTGGTGGACGACCCCCCGCTGCCACTGACCAGCAAGGAGCCACTGACTTCCGTCCAGCTGCAAAGGCTCGCTACCCTGCACGGGGTGGCCAGCCTCAGGTCTGCCCGCGGCTCTGCCCGGCCCTCCTGGAGGCTCCCCCCAGCCCTGTGGGGGCAGGAGCTGTGTGCCCCCAGCACCAGGGCCCCTCGGGGCTGGCTGCGAGCCAGCCCAGCCCAGTCCCTGCACCTCGCTTGCTCCTCCCCCCGCCCCGGGATGCCCCCAGCACCCATCCCCCTCTGCCTGTCCCTGTCTGCAGTGTGGCCTTGACCTTCATCCGTCACCAGTCATCAGTGCCCCAGGAGCCGGTGTTGAAGGAGGTGGGGTGGGCCCTAAGACCCCTGACTCCCCAGGGCCCAGCTGTGACCCCTGCCCAGGCTTAGGCCACAACCCTTGGTCCCTGGGGCTGGCCCTGGGTCCTGGCACGTGCCCGGGTAGCTGTGGGCCAGGCTCGAGAGAGGACAGTCTGACCCCTGTCCACCTCCTCAGGACTTGGAGCCCCTCGTGGCCCGGGACAGAGACCTAAAGCAGCTGAGGCTGGGGCTGGTGGTCCCTGAAGCCCCGCCCCCACTTTCCAGGCAGCAGCGCCAGGACGCCTTTGACCGTTACCTCCGTTTGATCCACAGCCCCGGCCTGCTGGTGGGTGTGGGGCCACCTCCAGCCACCCCTGACCCGGGGCTTCCCTCTGCCCCGAGACAACTCAGCCCGCCTGCTCTGTCACCCCAGGACTTCCAGTCTGCAAGGGCATCCCAGGAGTGGGCCACTGCGGCCTTCGGCCTGGAGAGAGAGGCCGGGGACACTGTGTCGCCCAGCGCCAGTGTCCAGACAGCGCCAACAGCTCTGCCCCCACAGGCCCTGGAAGCCCGGGCCCGGCGCTTCGCCCGCCCTCCCCGAGTCGCCCTGCCCCTGCTACCCACCCAGCACAAGGTGCACAGCAAGGTGTCCCAGGTGAGGCCCCGCCACTCCCCACCCAGCCTGACCCCGCGCCGGCCTCCCTGCCCCGTGACTCTTGTGTTGTCCCAGCTTCTAGTCCGCTCCTCCCTGAGCTACGAGCTGGGCCTCGGGCTGGACATGCTGCTGGAGTCAGAGCAGGTCCGGCGGGAGATGACCGTGGGCCCCGACTCACTGTCCTACCTGCAGCACAGGGTAAGGGGCCTGGCGGGTGAAGGTACCCGGGGCGTCGGGGGCCGCACTGTGTGCTGAGCCCGTTCCGATCCCCCTCCCCAGATCCCACTGCTGCTGAGGCGACGGCCCAGGGAGCCCCTGTCCAAGCTCAGGGGCTTCTTTCCTGCCACCCCACACCCCCACAAGGTGAGGCCAGGACCCCCTCTGCCACACAGCTTCCTGTCCCTGTCTGGCCCGCCTTCGGCCCAGCTCAGGAGCCTGCACCAGAGTCTGGGGGCTGCCAGCAGGAGCCTCCGCTGGCTGGGTGTGGGCATCCCCTTCGGCTCCTCCTGGGTGACCTGAGGCCCCACCCTTCAGGGGAGCAAGGCTGAGCGGAGCTGGCCCTCCAAACCCGCCAGGCTCCTGGGCAGGCCTCGGCGCCTCTCCTACACCTGCCTGGGGCATGACTGGCCCTTCCCTGGGAGGGGACCACTGTCTGCTCCTGCCCTGCCCCCACCAGCCATGGTTCTGAGACTTCCCCCTTCCAGGTCTCAGGGCTGAACCCTGCGGGGGGGACTCTCAGAACCAGCACCCGCTGGCCCCGCAGGACTCTGTCTTCATGTACCACGGCTGACGGCACACTGACACCCCTCCATCTGGCCTGCCTGTCTATGGGCTGACGGGGGGGCACTTTGGCTGGTGGAGCTGGACTGGGGGCTGAGTGGGGTCGTGTGGGTGACCAGCGTGGGCTGAGGGACCTCGGGGCCTCAGCCCACCCTCCTCTGCCTGCCCCCAGGGCTGCCCGCTGCCCATCAGCTTCCCAGGTTTTGTGCCCAACTCCATGCTGCTGCAGCAGATGTGGCTGCCTGCCGAGGTCAGCTGCCTGGGATCCCTGGCCCAGCTCGCCTCCCGGTTCCGGAGACGCAAGGCAAGGGGCAGGGCGGGGGGCTCGCCGGCCCGGGGAGGGCTCTGCCGTGCCCACCGCCCGACGGACGCCGCCTCTCGCCCTCGGCTTTGCAGCCAGGTGGGAGCCGCGGCGACGACCTGTGGCTGCATCACCCCCGGCGGTCCAACGCCAGGTGGAAGAGGCGGTGGCTGCAGTGGCTGCGCGGGAAGGCCAGGGCCAAGGAGGAGGAGGAGGAGGAGAAGAAGGTGGTGATTTTTCTGGAGGAGGATGAGGAAGAGAAACCGGAGGAGGAGGAAGAAGGGGAGGAGGAGGAGGAGGAGGAGGAGGAGGAGGAGGAGGAGGAGGAGGACTTGAGAGTGGTGTGCTCCTCGGCGACCCTGAGCCCACAGAGGCTGCACTCTGAGCAGCGGCTGGAGTCCTTGGAGCCCAAGCTTTCGGTACAGGCCCCAGGCTGCCACGGGAGGCGTGGGTTCAGCATCCCCGGCGCCAAGAAATGGGGCCTGCAGCGACCCTGCCTCCCCCAGAGCACCGCAGAGCTGACCCCGGAAGCCCTGAGCTCCCAGCAGACCACCAGGACCAAGACGGGCGCCTACCCTCAGTCCCAGTACCCCCGCACCCGCACACTGTGGGAGGAGCGCTACGGGCACCTGCCCAAGTTTCTGCACTTCTTCGTCAGCCAGAACTGGTTCAAAAAGCTGTTCCCCGTCATCACCCTAGAGGTAGGAGGAGCCCGGGATGGGTGGGCAGCAAGGCTGGGGCGGGGCACGAGCTGGGGCCCAGCACGCCCCCACCGCAGGCATATCCAGAGATGGGCACTGTGGAGGGACTGGCCTCGGTGCTGCTGGACATGCTGCCCACGTCCTCCTGGGCAGACCGCGTGCACATGCTGCACGCTCTGCTGATGCTGCTGCCGGACCTGGGCCACGGCCTCCGCAGCCAGCTGCGGGACCTCCTCCTGCATCTGCTTAACTTGGACCAGCCCCCCAGCTTCCAGGTGACCGCACGGCTCGCCACGCCCCCAGCCTGCCCCGCCCCGGGCCCCCTCCTCCTCCAACCGCAGCCCGGCTTCCGGCTTCTCCCAGGACCCCACTCAGAAGCAGTTTGTGATGCTGGCGCTGCAGCTGCTGCTGGCCTGCTTCCTGGAGTCGAACGACGCGGTGCTGGAGCTCATGTCCTACTTCCTCTACTCGCCAGACCCCTGCCGGTGCGTCCCGCCCCCGCCCCCCCCCCCAGCCCTGCCTGGGCCCTGCCGTACCACCTGTCCTTGCCCCAGGCCAGAACTCAAGAAGCTGATGGACAGGCTGGGCCTGCAAGACCCGCAGGGCTTCCTGTTCAAGGAGATGCTGACCTGGGTCCAGGGTGCCCAGCTCAGCTCCAAGTCCACGCTGCGCACACTGTGCTGTCAGAAGCTGGAGGGCATGATCCAGCAGCTGCAGGTCCTGCTCACCCCCCTCCCAGGCTCCTCCAGGACGTGGGGGCAGAGCTGGGGGGGGTGGCACAGGCGCTGCCCGTCCAGGGCATCCTTCAGGATCTCCTTGGGCAGCTGCAAGCCTGCGGGGGGGGGGGGGGGCGGGGCGGGGCGGGGCGGCTTAGAGGCAGGGAGGCGCGGTCAGGGGCGGGGCACCCATCCCCGCAGCTCTGAGCGCTTCTCCGATTCCTGCAGACAAGAATCACGAAGGCGCAGGCGGCCAGGCCAGAGCCCTCAGCGCCCCCCACTCCTCCCAAGGAGGCCCCCTTGAAGGCTGCGCCGCCGGTGTCCCCCGTGCCCTGGCGGCACCTCCTGGAGCCGCCCTTGCCGGCGGGTGCGGGTGCGGGTGCGGAGCTGCAGGCCCAGCCGGTGCGCAGCCGGTGGACCAAGCGCGCGCTCTCCGAGACGCTGCAGAACTTCTGCGGGACGCCCAGGCCCAGCTGGCGCTCGCCCGCGTCCCCGGCGCTGCCGGAGAGGCCGCAGCTGCCCCACGGGCAGATGCTGGACCTCGGCTGCATCGACGCGCTCAACTACTTCTGCGAGCAGCAGCGGGCGCAGCAGCTCATCCTGCTCTGGGAGGAGGCGCAGCGCCTGCGCTCGCCCGAGCCCAACACCGTGGTGCGGCCGCCGCACGACCGCAGGTGCGGGCGCGGCCCGGGCGGCGGGGGCGGGCGGCCACGGGCCGGCCCGGCTGACCCGCTGCCCCCGCCGTCCCCAGGCGCTGCCCCATCCTCCGGCTCCAGGAGGCCGAGGTCCACAGCTCCGAGGAGCGGCCGAGGGGTGAGTGCGCGGGGCGGAGGCGGGACCGCCACCCCCACCCTCATGCCTGCCGGCAGCCTCACCGCCCTGCCCCTGCGCCCGCAGGCCGGATGCCCGCCGCGCTCCGCACCGGCCGCACCCGCCCCCTCGACGGCTCCATCCGGGCTCTGAAGCTGCCGCTGCCGCGGGTGGAGGTACAGCCGTTTCCGGCGGGGTGGCCACAGCCCGCACGCCCGCGGTGCCCGCTGCCCCTGCAGCCCGGGCTGCAGCGCTACTTCGTGCCGGGGCGCGCAGACCCCGACGGCCTGGGCTGACCGCCTGGCCGACCCCTGCCTGCCCCCTCGCGTCTGGAATAAAGCCCAGGGCCACAGCCGGCAGATGGGGCGTTGCCTCCACCTTTGCGGCCCGGGCTCGGGGTGGGTGGCCTGACGGCAGCAGGTGTGTGTGGGGTAGGCGGCAGCTGGCTGTGTCTTGGGCACTCTCCCAGCAGTCCCTGGAGATGGGTGCTGTTGTGGGGTACAGGGTCACACACGCCTTCTGAGGGGACCCCCAAGACTGCACGCACACCTTGGGTGCCCTGCCTTGGGCTCTCAGCAGTGACTTCCTGTAAATTTCCTGCCTCTGGCTATGGTTAGGGGCCTGCTCCTTCCCTGTGGGCCTCAAGCCCACCGCCAGGTGAGCTGACCCCACCCCCACCGCGCCTCCCTGTTCCGGGATGAGAGCAAACCCTTTCTAAGGTATGGCACAGGCAAGCACAGCAAGTTTGAAACATCACACACCCACAAAGCAGTCATAAAGGAAACAATGTATCTACACAGGAATTTTTAATTTTTTATTTCTTTTTCTTTTTCTTTTCTTTTTTTTTTTTTTTTTTTGACAGGCAGAGTGGACAGTGAGAGAGACAGAAAGGTCTTCCTTTGCCGTTGGTTCACCTTCCAATGGCTGCCGCGGCCGGCGCACCGCGCTGATCCGAAGGCAGGAGCCAGGTGTTTCTCCTGGTCTCCCATGGGGTGCAGGGCCCAAGGACCTGGGCCATCCTCCACTGCACTCCCGGGCCACAGCAGAGAGCTGGCCTGGAAGAGGGGCAACCGGGACAGAATCCGGCGCCCCGACCAGGACTAGAACCGGGTATGCCGGCCCCGCTAGGCGGAGGATTAGCCTATTGAGCCATGGCGTTGGCGGAATTTTTAATTTTTAAAAATTTATTTATTTATTTATTTTTGGACAGGCAGAGTGGACATTGAGATAGAGAGAGAGACAGAGAGAAAGGTCTTCCTTTCCGTTGGTTCACCCCTCAATGGCCACTGCGGCTGGTGCGCTGCGGCCGGCGCACTGTGCTGATCCGAAGCCAGGTCTCCTGGTCTCCCCTGCAGGTGCAGGGCCCAAGCACCTGGGCCATCCTCCACTGCACTCCTGGGCCACAGCAGAGAGCTGGACTGGAAGAGGAGCAACTGGGACAGAATCCGGCACCCTAACTGGGACTAGAACCCCGGGTGCCAGCGCCGCAGGCGGAGGATTAGCCTAGTGAGCATTAAGGGAGTAGGAAGGGGGGCTCTGCCATCCGTCCAGAGCGAGTAGGCAGTCCCGCAGTTGACAGCAAAACCCACACAGCCCTGAAGGAAAACGCACAAGAAGTCCAAGAGGCACATGGAAACATTACAGACACATCAGGGCCCGCGCTGTGGCCTAGTAGGCTAAGCCTCCGCCTGTGGCGCTAGCATCCCATATGAGCTCCACTTCCAATCCAGTGCCCTGCTAATGCGCCTGGGAAAGCAGCAGATGATGGCCCAAGTCCTTGGGCCCCTGCACCCACGTGGGAGACCTGGAAGAAGCTCCTGGCTTGGGATCGGCCCAGCTCCAGCTGTTGCAGCCATCTGGGTAGTGAACCAGTAGATGGAAGCTCTCTCTCTCTGTAACGCTGTCTCTCAGATTTATTTGTTTGTTTGAGAGGCAGAGTTACAGAGAAGCAGAGCCTGAGCCGATCCCAAGCCAGGAGCTTCTTCTGGGTCTCCCACGTGGGTGCAGGGGCCCAAGCACTTGGACCATCTTCTGCTACTTTCCCAGGTGCATTAGCAAGGAGTGGGATCAGAAAAGGAGCAGGTGGGACTCGAACCAGCACCCATATGGGATGCCGGCACTGCAGGCGGTGGCTTTACCTTCCGTGCTACAGCTCAGGCCCCAGTGAATGAAACATTAAAAAAAAGACAGACCCGGGCCGGCGCCGCGGCTCACTAGGCTAATCCTCCGCCTAGCGGTGCCGGCACACCGGGTTCTAGTCCCGGTCGGGGCACCGGATTCTGTCCCGATTGCCCCTCTTCCAAGCCAGCCCTCTGCTGTGGCCAGGGAGTGCAGTGGAGGATGGCCCAGGTGCTTGGGCCCTGCACCCCATGGGAGACCAGGAAAAGCACCTGGCTCCTGGCTCCTGCCATCGGATCAGCGCGGTGCGCCGGCCGCAGCGCACCAGCCGCGGCGGCCATTGGAGGGTGAACCAACGGCAAAGGAAGACCTTTCTCTCTGTCTCTCTCTCTCACTGTCCACTCTGCCTGTCAAGAAAAAAAAAAAAAAAAAAAAAAAAAAAAAAGACAGACCCATGTCTGGGTGTACACACACGTGCACACACGCACACGTGCACACACACATACACACACATGGCTTCACCCTCAGCAACTGAGAACCACTGTGACAAACGGCCATTGCTCACTGGGCTGCCTACACGTGAGAACCTGAGACTCACCAGGCTGGAGGCCTGCCGTGGGCTCGCAGTCTCTGCACGGGTGGGGCAGCCCAGGAGGTCGGAAGTGACCCCGCCGTCACTCGGGAGAAATGCATCAGGCTCCGCCAACAAGACTGCAAATCAGCCTCAAAGTAGCGCCCCAGGGTGTGGGTTAAGGCGCCGCCTGGGACACCCACACCCCGTCCTGCAGTGCCCGATACTACGGGGCTACCAGGCTGGGCTGAGGTCAGGGGCCAGGAACTCAACCACCTCTCCCCCATGGCTGGCAGGAGCCCAGCTCCTGGGGCCGGCACCGGCTGGCTCCGAGCTGGAGTCGGGAGTGCACCGGTCGTCCTAACCGCGAGACTAAATCCCGCTCCTCCCCAGACTTCCTGAAGTACCCTTGCAGAGCCTCGTGTTCCACTTCTAGAACATTCTCGAAACAACAGTGTGCAGGTGAGAATAGATGGCCAGGGCGCAGGATGGGACGGGGGTCCTGCACGAGGGGAGCTCTATGACCAGCTTTTTAAAGGGATCCATTTCCTCATTTGAACGCAGAGCGACAGAGCGAGGAGGAGCAGGGACAGAGCTTTCCCACCCACTGGTTCACTTGGGCCATCACTGCTGCCTGCCAGGATGTGCGTTGTCAGGACGCTGCGTAGCTGGGACCTGAACCCCTGCTCTCCCAACATGGGACACAGGCGTCCCAAGCAGCGACTTAACTGCTGAGCCAATGGCCACACACCAGAGGCTGCGATCTGCCCATCTGTCTTGGGACTGTGGGGGGTGCCCGTCCTGGTGACCACGTGGTGGTACTATATATAGGCCTCCCATGGCATCAAAGCAAGCATGGGCCTGTGGGAGCCAGTGGGCCTGACCTGCACATCTTGGGCGCAAACAAAAGTGCCCACCAGAGGGCGCCATTTGCCCAGATTGTCCGCCTGGCGCCCCCTTTTCCTCCCTTTCGGTGGGACACAAGGTCAGGTCTGGATGAGACCATAAAGTGCCCGCCCAAGGGGCCACCCTGGGCAAGTGCCAGTTCTGGGAGTTTGTGGGGCTCTCCTGGGCATTTGTGCCCTTGATGTAAAAGAATTAAATAATTACATCCGCCTGTTAAAGGGGTTTATGCAACGTGCAATCCATGAGGCAGGACAGGCCCTTGGCCTAGTGGTGAAGGTGCCTGCGTCGCGTGTGGGAGTGTCTGGGCTGGAGTCCCAGCCCTGCTCCCGACTCCAGCTTCCTGCTGTGTGAACCCTGGGAGGCGCTGGTGACGGCTCAAGCACCTGGATCCCTGACACCCAGGTGGGAGACCTGGGTGGAGTTCCCAGCCCTGGCTGTTGTGGGCATGTGGGGACTGAACTGGAGTGTAGGAGTTTATCTGCTTCTTCATCTCTGTGCTCTGATACCCATCCATCCGTCCAAGAAACAAGTGGTCAAAATGGGGGCCGGCGCCGCGGCTCACTAGGCTAATCCTCCGCCTAGCGGCGCCGGCACACCGGGTTCTAGTCCCGGTCGGGGCGCCGGATTCTGTCCCGGTTGCCCCTCTTCCAGGCCAGCTCTCTGCTGTGGCCAGGGAGTGCAGTGGAGGATGGCCCAAATGCTTGGGCCCTGCACCCCATGGGAGACCAGGAAAAGCACCTGGCTCCTGGCTCCTGCCATCGGATCAGCGCGGTGCGCCGGCCGCATTGCGCCGGCCGCGGCGGCCATTGGAGGGTGAACCAACAGCAAAGGAAGACCTTTCTCTCTGTCTCTCTCTCTCTCACTGTCCACTCTGCCTGTCAAAAAAAAAAAAAAAAAAAAAAAAAAAAAAACAAGTGGTCAAAATGACCCTTCGAGGTCTCAAACCAGCGATGTCAGCCCTCTCGGCCCACGGCCTCTTCGTGAAGGCTCACTTCTGAACACTGTTCCTCTGGGGATCACGTTTCCGAGACTGTGTTGCTCAAACCACAGACGTTACCAAGAGGCCCCCAGGAAGGAGGCAACAACCCGCACAGCCGTGTGCCCGTGCACCGAGTGGAACCTGTGCTTGAAAACCAGGAGGAAAACCTGAGACCCCGCTGGGTTTGCCGCGAGGTTCTACCCGGGAGAGTCGAGGGAGCCCTCCCCCAGGGCCCCTGAAGTCACCCTCACGCCGGTCCAGGCAGCCGTGACGCCGAGGAGTGAGAACACAGCGCCAGTAGGCGGGGTTCTCAGGGGCACCGGGCCGGCTGAAGTCACTCAGCGTGGGCCAGGTGTGCCCTGTCCAGGTGGGCTAGACGGCATGTGCAGCCACAGCCGGCGGGATGTCCCCCGTGTCACTCTTGGTGAAAGGCAAGACCACACGGCTGAGTCTGTGTGGGGCATCCATGCCTGCCACTGTGGCCACCCCGCTCCCCACAAAGCAGGCTCTGGGGATCTGGGCAGAGGAGCTGACTGCAAGCCACGGCGCGTGCCATCCCGTGTACCTGATCCTTGAGAGCCGAAGACGCCCTGTTCCTAGGTGCCCAGGAATCTGTGGCATCTGGGCCCCTGCCATGGCCCTGTACCGACCTCAGCTCCAGCTCCGGCAAGGGCCCAGGCTCCCTGCTCCCCAGGCTGCGGCTGTCCACGTGCGGTTGTGCCAGCAACCATGAGGATGTGCTTGAAAACCAGGTCCACCTTTGCTCTGCCTCTGACAACTGGCTGGGAGGACTCTCCAAGAGCCATGCTCACAGAGGCTGCCCCCCAACTTACTGGCACCTCAAGACCCTGTGGGGCTCAGCCTCTCACCTGTCATCTCCGCTGGCAACCAGCATAGCCGCACACATCTAAACTGCACAAAGGTCAGCCAACACTGGTTCCGAAACAGAAGCACAGGATGCATGCCCCGCCCCCTTCACATTCCATAGTTAGGAACTTACCCTGCCGTGGCTCAACCCAGCTGCACCTGCCACTCAATACAACCCCACCTGTGCTCAACCCAGACCCCCCCCCACTCAACCCAGCCCCCCTACACTCAGCCCAGCCCCCCCACTCAACCCAGCCTTAACTACTCAGCCCAGCCCCCCACTCAACCCAGCCTTAACTACACTCAACCCAGCCCCCCCACTCAGCCCAGCCCCCCCACTCAACCCAGCCTTAACTACACTCACCCCAGCCTCCCCTCAACCCAGTCCCCCACTCAACCCAGTCCCCCACTCAACCCAGCCCCCCCACTCAACCCAGCCTTAACTACACTCAGCCCAGCCCCCCCACTCCACCCAGCCCCCCCCTCAACCCAGCCCCCCTACACTCAACCAAGTTTCCCTACACTCAACCCAGCCCCCCTACACTCAGCTCAGCCCCTCTACACTGAACCCAGCCCCCCTACACTCAGCCCAGTCCCCCCTACACTCAGCCCAGTCCCCCCACACTCAGCCCAGCCTTACCCAATACTCCACTCAACCTCAACCAACACTGAATGAAAGGAACTAGAATCAAGAGTCCATTACAATATTCCCTTTATTTATACAGGGTTTAGAAAATTCAAACTGACCTATAATGACAGAAAACATGTCAGTGTTTGCTAAGAAATGGGAGAGGGAGAGAGGGGAGAAGTAGGGTTACAAAGGAATGTGTGGAGCCTTTGGGGTGACAGGTGCCTCTGTTCTCTTGATGGGGATGGCAGTTTTATGGGGAGATATATATGTATATATATATATAAAATATCAAACCCAACAAAGTGTATATTTTACTTTTTAAAAACATTTATTAATTTACTTGAAAGAGTCGGTGACAGAGAAAGGGAAGGCACAGAGATCTATCTGCTGGTTCATTGCCCAGATGGCTGCAACAGGCAGGCTTGTGCGGGCCAAAGCCAAGAGCCAGGATCCTCATCCATGAGGGTGGCAGGGGCCCAAGCACTCGGGCCATTAGGTGCTGCCTCCCAGGCACATTCGCAGGAAGTCGAGACTCCAACCAGGCCCTCCAGAGTGGGATGTGGGTGCCTGAGCACCTGCTCGCCTGCTGCACGCAGCACCAGCCCCTGTGCGCTTGAAATACGCGCATTTCTAGTGTGTGCTAAGTGTCTCTCGGGAAAGCTGCAAGAAACCTCAACATTCACTGTAGGGACTGTTGATAGAATTTAACACGGTTATAAAGGACAAACTATATAAATACCAACCGCACTGCTTCATGCAAGCAACAGTGAGAAAATGGAATATTCACTGTAGGGACTGTTGATAGAATTTAACACGGTTATAAAGGACAAACTATATAAATACCAACCGCACTGCTACATGCAAGCAACAGTGAGAAAATGGAATATTCACTGTAGGGACTGTTGATAGAATTTGACATGGTTATAAAGGACAAACTATATAAATACCAACCGCACTGCTACATGCAAGCAACAATGAGAAAATGGAATCTTTATTTTTAGATTTTTATTTATTTGAAAAGCAGGTGACAGAGAGAATTTTCCATCTGCTGCTTCATTCCCCCAAACGGCCACAAAGGCTCGGGCTGGTCCATCCGGTCTCCCCAAGCACTTGGGCCCTCTGCTACAGGGTCCGGCTTAACCTCCTGTATCACAACACCCGCCCCTGTGTTTATGCTATTTGCTTATTTGAGAGATAAGTAAATAGAGCTCCCGCTCACTGGTTTATGCGAAATACTGTTGTGGTCAGAGCTGAGCCAAGGCTCAAGCCAGGAGCCTGAAACAAAGTGCAGGTCTCTGAGTTGGGCAGCAGGAAACCAAGTGTGAGAGACACCGCCGCCGGCCCCAGGCCAGGAGCCTGGCGCAGCAGGTGTCCAGGGACTCCAGCACGGGAGGCAGGCGTCTTAGCTGCCAGGCTAAACACTCGCTCCCCGAAGATGACGGTTAATAAGCATTTTAGAACACACTGATAACAGTATCACAAACACCAGGTATCCAGGAAGTAATTCAGGTGAAGACATGCAAGATGGAAACAAGGCATGTTAAAGAAAACCTTCCTGGCCGGCGCCGCGGCTCACTAGGCTAATCCTCCGCCTGAGGCGCCGGCACACCGGGTTCTAGTCCCGGTTGGGGCGCCGGATTCTGTCCCGGTGGCTCCTCTTCCTGTCCAGCTCTCTGCTGTGGCCCGGGAAGGCAGTGGAGGATGGCCCAAGTGCTTGGGTCCCTGCACCCGCGTGGGAGACTGGGAGGAGGCACCTGGCTCCTGCTTCGGATTGGCGCAGTGCCAGCCGTGGCGGCCATTAGGGGAGTGAACCGGCGGAGGGGAGACCTTTCTCTCTGTCTCTCTCTCTCTCTCTCTCTCTAACTCTGCCTGTCAAAAAATAAATTAAAAAAAAAGAAAAGAAAAGAAACCTCTCACTGGAAGCATAAAATCCAACATCACAGCACGTGCATCAGGGCCGGTGCCCTGGGGCATCGGCAGGAAGCTGGGACTGGGAGCCTGAGCCAGGAATTGAGCCCAGTCCCTCCAGTGTGGGACACGGGTAACCTAACCACAAGCGCCTGCTCCCCAGTTTACACATTTGTTTTTAAAGGCAGAGTGACGGCGAGGCGGGGGAGACAGAGAGCCCTTCTATCCATTCGGTTCGCTCCCCAAATGCTTGGCTGTAACGGTCAGCACTGGGTCACGATGAAGCCAGGAGCCTAGAACTCCATCCAGGTCTCCCAAGGGGGTGGCAGGGGCCCAGGGACCTGCACCATCTCCCACTGCTTCTCCAGGACCTTAGAAGGGAACTGGATCGGCAGCTGAGCAGCCAGGACTCGGCCGTCACTTGGATATGGGATGTCCTGTCCAGATGCAGCTCGCTCCACTGTGCCCATCGTTGGCCCCAGTTTAGAAGAAGTTAGATGCTCTTAGTCGCAATTCTGGAATTGGGTGACGCTCCAACGTGCAGAGATTGGCTCTTAGGGATAAAAGCGCAGAAGAAGGGGCCGGTGTAGTGGCACAGTAGGTTAAGCTGCTGCCTCTGACACCGGCATTCCCTATTGGCACCGGTTCGAGTCCTGGCCGCTCCACTTCTGATCTAGCTCCCTTCTGATGCACCTGGGAAAGCAGCGGATGATGGCCCAAGCACTTAGGCCCCTGCCCTGGAAGGAGCTCCTGGCTCTTGGCTTCCCTCTTAGCCCGGCGCTGGCTGTGGCGGCCATTTGGCAAGTGAACCAGCAGACGGAAGATCTGTGTGCAGCACTGCCTTTCAAGTGGAAGGAAAGCAGAGGCAGAACAAGAAGAGACGGGCTCTCTTGAAGTCACTCTCCGTGTAAAGCTAAAAACAGAGGGGACCCGTGAAGGCTTCCGGCTACATCGCCCGGGCAGAAGCTGGAGGAGCAAAGAGGGCAAACGTCTCTAACAGTAAGGCCCCTCTGAACACCCCCACTCCTGACGTGGGCCCACCCGCGAGCAGCGCCTCGCGAGCTGACCACGTCTCGGTGGGCCCTGTCTCCCAACACCGCTGCACTGGGCCTGGGATGGAGTTTGGGTTTGGGGGGCACCTTCAAACCATGGCCCATGCGGCAGGAGTTTGGGGTCCGCTCGGTGTTATGCTAAAGCCACACACACGCTGCCCTGGGGAAGGCGTTAGCTCCGGAGCTGGCCCCCCCGACTTCAACCTCCTGCCGTGTGTTGCTGCTTTTTGTTTCTTGTTGCTGAAGCTGAGCTGAGGTCTCTCTGGAGAGAGGGCTCCAGGAGAGGTGGCTGTGGGTGTTCACAGCATCGGCTCCTCCTCCATGCCGGGATGGCCCAGTGTGTAGGTGTCCAGCCCTGAGCGGGGGGTCCTCGCTCAGGAAGCTTGTTTGTACAGGAGACGCCATTGGGTCTCTTGTCCGGCCACTCTGGAGAGGGCCCTGGCCGGCAGGAAGCAGGAAGGAAAGCTTGGGGGTGGGGGTCAGGTGAGACGCGGGGGTGCCACTCCATGGAGCACAGCAAGTGACAGGTCCAGAGAGGACAGGGCGGCTGCCTCCCTGGGCCAGTGGGAAGGGGGGCTCAGCCAGCTGGTGTGGGAGGAGACAGAGAGAGATGCCATCTCCTGGCTCCCTCAGATGTCCACAACAGCCGGGGCTGGGCCAGGCTGGGCCAGGAGCCAGGAACGCGGTGGCAGAGACCCAACACCTGGGCTGTCACTGCTGCCTCCCAGGGTGTGCGCTGGCAGGAAGCTGGAACCTGGAGCCGGGCACTCCCAGCCCTGGCCTGAACCACCGCTTCGTATTTGAAAAGCAAAGCCTGCACTTGCCATCTTAGCTCGGCTGCTACATGAAGACACCGCAGACCGGGGGGTTTGGACCACAGAGGTCTCCTCATGGTTCTGGAGCCTGGAGACCCCAGGTGTGGCTCCGGGGAGGGCGCCCAGCTCCCTGTGTCCTCCGGTGGAGCCAGGGCCAGCGGGCACTCTGGTGCCCTACGTGCAGAGACCCCGGCCCTGTGTGTGGCCTCTCAACCTTGATCTGGAAGGCCATGTGGCCTCTCAACCTTGATCTGGAAGGCCAGTCCCGCTAGGGCCTGGACCCCAGCGTTTGCTCCATCCACAGCACCCACCAACGGTATCTCCGGCTGCCTGCTCCCTGTCCACCGGCTTGTGACGACCTCTGAGGTCCTTGGTCTGTGGATTAGTCTGTTCCGGAAGTGTCTTATAGACGGGATCACACAAGATGCGCTCTGTGACTTGCTCCATTTGCTGACTGCTGACTGGGGGGCACATCCACCTGGGGCATCAGGAGCCCGCCTCCTCTTACAGCGCAGTGAGACCCCTACCAAGGGCCCACCCTCCCCCCCGTGGACGTTTGGGCTGTCCCCACCTTCTGGCTGCCGTGGGTAATGCAGCCTGCACACACAGGTTTCTCCCGCGCATACCCAGGAACAGAGAGCTGGGTTGTCACTTCTGTTTAACTTTTTGAAGAACTGACACTGTTTTCCATGGCGGCCACGCCTTTTAAATATTATTTATGTATTTGCGTTTTTATTTATTTCACCACTCCCTGAACGACCTCAACAGCCCGGACTGGGCCGGTGGAAGCGGGAGCCAGGAACTCCGTCCAGGTCTCCGGCGGGGTGGCAGGGACCCAAGCACTTGGCCACCATCTGGTGCCTCCCACCGTGTGCATTATCAGCGTGGGACATAAAGCCGCCTCCCACCCCCGCCCCCGCCCAGGATGGACACAGAAGCCTGAAGAAGGCAGGGCCAGCGGCGTTTACTGAGTGACCAGCAGGTGGAAGCAGCCGCCCAGCCTCCTTTATCCCTGCCAGAGGTCGCTCACTGGGTGAGCAACGTGCGAGGCATGCCAAGTGTGTGTGGACACGGGGTGGGCACTGCCGGGCAGACCTGGGGCAGGGCAGGGAGTCACGTCGGGCCGGCACCAGGGCTCCGGGAACTGAGACGCAAGAGCAGTGTGCACCAGGCATCCGGCGGTTTGATGACAGAACCGCGGAGGGTCACAGGACAGGAAGGGCCGCAGGGTTTGCCCACAACTGACCTACTTCCGGTGTGCAACCTTGCATCCTGCGCGCTACCACGGCTGCACCGCGGCCAGGTCCTGTGGAAACGCGCCACGACAGTTGTGGGTCTGGCACCAATAACATGCGCTGTGTCTCACTTTCCAACCTGGCCAGCAGCTGCCCGCAGTGCCGAGCTGGACCTGCCTTGAGGCCCTCGGCGTCCCGGACAGGTGCCGGAAGACCCCACGCAGGGAAGGGCCTTCCTTGCTCCCGCGTCCGCCCAGGAGGGCACGCTTGGTGCTCGGCCTGAGCGGCCTGGGAGCAGGGACCGGGCGGGCCCGACACCAGCAGAGCCCGCAGCCAGCGACCCTGCAGACCTGCCAGTCACGCGCACCCGGCGCCCACAATGCCGCGCGCCCCGGCCCCGCCCCGGCCCCGCCCCGGCCCCGCCCCGGCGTGGAGTCCGCGGCCTCGGATTGGCCTCCGCGACTTCCGTCTCCGCGGCGGGTGGGGCCGGCTCCTCGCGGCGTGCTGGCCGTGGCCATGGGGGAGACCGGCGCGAGTGGGGCTGGTGAGCGCGCGCCGGGACGGCCCGAAGCGCAGGCGGAGGCGGCCGAGCTGCTGCCCTTCCTGGCGCCGGGTGCCCGGGCCGACCTGCAGGCGGCAGCGGTGCGGCACGTGCTGGCTCTGACCGGCTCCGAGCCGGGCCGCTCGCTGCTGGCCGGGCAGGCGGCGCTGCTGCGGGCGCTGGTCCAGCTGGCGGGCGCCCCGGCCCCGGCCCCCGCCCGCGACGCGGCGCGCGCACTCGTGAACCTGGCTGCCGACCCCGGCCTGCACGAGCCGCTGCTGGCGGCCGACCCCGGGCTGCCGGCCCGCCTGCTCGGCCTCGCCCTGGACCCGCAGTGGCCCTGGGCCGACGAGGCGGCCGCCGCACTGGCCAACTTGAGCCGCGAGCCCGCGCCGTGCGCCGCGTTGTCAGAGGCGCTGGCGAGCGCCGACCCCGAGGGCTCGGGCCTGGAGCGGATAGTGCGCGCCTTGTGCACCCCCGGCTACAACGCGCGCGCACCCTTGCACTACCTGGGGCCGCTGCTCTCCAACCTCAGCCAGCGGCCGGCGGCGCGCGCCTTCCTGCTGGACCCCGACAGGTGAAACCCAGGGCGCGCGTGCGGGCCGGAGCGGGTGGAAGGGTACAGGGCCGCAACGAGAGATCCCTCCCTGCAGGTGCGTGGTGCAGCGGCTGCTGCCTCTTACCCAGCATCCGGACTCCTCGGTGCGCAGGGGCGGTGTGGTGGGGACGCTGCGGAACTGCTGCTTCGAGCACCGTGAGTGATGGGGAGGGCGGCTGGGGCGTTGGCGGAGGCGGGGGGCTCGGGGCCGACCCCTGTCCCTGCCCCCCCAGGACACCACGAGTGGCTGCTTGGTCCCGAGGTGGACATCCTCCCCTTCCTGTTGCTGCCTCTGGCCGGGCCTGAGGATTTCTCCGAGGAAGAGATGGACCGTGAGTGGCTTGGGTGGACGTCTGGGGTTCGGCTGGCAGGAGGGAACCCACCAGGGAAGTCACAGGAGAAGGTGTCCCGGTCCCAGGCCCCTTCTGAAACCTTGCAGGGAGCTGAGCACGGATGGGGCTGAAGTGGGCAGAGCCTGGCCCCGCCACCCAGCTCAGGGACCCAGGGGCTCCCACCTTCACCGCTAGGGCTGCCCGTGGACCTGCAGTACCTGCCGCCCGACAAGCAGCGGGAGCCTGATGCCGACATCCGCAAGATGCTGGTGGAAGCCATCATGCTGGTGCGTGGGGGTCCTGCCGTGGCTGTGCCGCCCCGGCACACGAGCACAGTGACATCTGGGCACCCCCTCCCCTCCCCTCAGCTGACAGCCACCGCACCTGGCCGGAAGCTGGTGCGGGACCAGGGAGCCTACCTGATCCTCCGAGAGCTGCACAGCTGGGAGCCGGAGCCCGCCGTGCAGGCAGCTTGTGAGAAGCTCATTCAGGTAGGTGCGGGGCCGCAGAGGCTGGGACGGGGTGCCCACCGCTGGCCAGCGGCTCACTGCCCCCTCCCCCCCCAGGTGCTCATCGGGGATGAGCCGGAGCGAGGCATGGAAAACCTGCTGGAGGTCCAGGTGCCTGAGGACGTGGAACGGCGGCTGCAGCAGCTGGACCGTGAGGAGCAGGAGCAGCTGCAGCGGGAGCGGGCCCCTGCGTCCTGAGCCAGCCGCAGGCCCACCTCGGCCACAAGTTCCTGAGGAGGCCTGCTGTGGCCTGGCGGCCCCTCCAGTCCCGCTGCTCAGAGGCTGCAGAGTGGAGGGCAGCCCTGTGCCCTGTGCTGCCAGCGAGAGTACAGGTTGCTCTGCGTGGTTCCAGGGAGCGTGGGGACGAGGAGGAAGTGGGGAGCAGGGGGGGTGGAAAAAACACATATTGGTGCCCCCCCGTGGGGGAGCAAGGTGGGGACGGCCGCGCACCCAGCCGTGGGCTCTCCAGTGGAAGCAGCGTGGCTGCGGCAGCCCCACGGGATCATGGGTGAAATAAATCATGGTTTTCAAGTTCTTGCTGTAGAACCTCTGAGAATGGGAGAGATCTGTGTTTTGTTTCTTAAGACTGATTGAGTTGATAGGCAGAGTGACAGGAAGAGACAGAGACAAAGAGATCTTCCATCCGTTGGTTCGCTCCCCAGATGTCCACAACTGGGCTGGGGCTGGGCCAGCTGGAGCCGGGAGCCTGGGACTCCATCTGGGCCTCCCACGTGGGTGCCAGGTGCCCAAGAACTTGGGCTGTCATCCGTTGCCTCCCTGGGGCGCACGCTAGCAGGAAGCTGGATCTGACACGGAGCGGCTGGACTGCAACCAGACTCTAGGAGATGGGACGTCAGCGTCCCAAGCCGTGGCCCGACCTGCGCCACACCCTGCCCCAGGACAGATGTAGTCTGAGGACTAAGGAGGGTAAGACCAGTTTGGGAAGAGCACCTGTCGGAGTGATCCGAGGACACGAGGTGTGCTGAAACTGAAGCCAGAACCCCGAACTTAGGGCAGAGCTTGGGTGGTGTCCTTCGTGCTTACGGAAAGCTGACGGGGCCCATCCCAAGGAATCAGCAACTCCTGGAGAGGAGGGCCGAGCCCGTGAAGACGAGGCCCGGAGCTGCAGGTCGTCCACGTCCGCTCGCGAGGGAAAGGGTGACCTTAGCTGCCCGTGACCGGAGAGGGCCGGCAGCCGCAGCCCTGGCCTGAGCCGGTGCGCCCGGTCACCCTCTGCTGGGCGCTCCTGCTCCTGGGCTCCCGTGGGGTGACCCCGCCCCCGCACAGTACTTCTGTGGCTGCCACGCCCTGAAGGCTGTCACGGTGGCTCTCACCCCAGGGTGCTCTTCCCAAGCCTCTGGGCAGAGGGCTTCCTGCCTGTGCCCACCCTGGCCCTGCGGAGCAGGCTCAGCTCGTCCTTGGGGCGTTCTCAGCGCCTCATTTGAGAACCTCCAAGATGTGTGGCCCAGCGTTCTCCCTGCACTGGAGCTGACGCTCTCCAGCTCCAAGACCTCTGCACCGCCTGCTGCACGAACAAGCACTCTGGCTCGCACTGCCCGCCTGTCCTCCGTGGACCCCGTGGGGCCCAGGCGAGTTGCTGATGTCCGGCATGCCTGCAGGTGTTCACCCAAGGCTGGCTGGTGCCGGGGCCCCAGCCTAGCAGCGCCTGCATCTTGCCTGGGGCAGGCAGTGCTGCCTGTGGGCTGCCCCGTGCCTGGGGACGCCACAGCTGCAGAACTGGCCACAGGGATCCCAGGTCCACAGCGTGCTGCCATCCAGGGGCAGGGACGCTGGGAGCTCTGGGAAGCCATGCAGCAGGGGCCAGGTGGTGCTGAGGGCCTGGCAGAGGAGCACCCAGTGCTGCGTGGCTGCCCGCTGCAGGCCCGGGCTTGTCGGGGCAGGTCCTGGCTGCAGCCTCCTGCCCTCTCCCTGTGCCCCCGGTGCCCTGGCCTGTGCCCATCACTGGCAGTTGCTGGCAGCTCACCTGGGACAGTGCAGAGCTCCGGCTGCAGCATGTGGGAGCCGCTGTCTTTTCTTGACTTCAAGTTGGGCGTGTGGGCTGATTTTCCCAGCCTGGGCAGGGCAGATGCCACATCGGGCTTCCCTGTGTCCACCCCACAGGCGACCCTTCCTGGGGCCTGGGTCTTAGCTGGTCTGCTCCCTGTTGTACATGCACGCATGAGGCTCTTGGGGGCTCAGCAGTGAGTTCTCAAGCCCTGTGTAGCTGGCAAAGCCAGTGTCTGCATAGGGAGGGCAGGGGTGTGGGGTCATGGAGTGTGTGATGGCAAGCGTGCTGCGGGGCGGGGGCAGGGGGTCTTGCCCAGGACCAGAGTGGAGGTGACAGTTGGGGTGGGCTTGGGGGCTCAGTGGTTGGCGTCAGAAGCCCTGGCCATCCGGCACTCACACTAAGGCTCCTCTGTGGGGAGCGAGGAGGGCCTAGCCTGGGCTCAAGTGGTCAGCCAGGTGGCTCTCTCCATGTGGCAGTAGCAGGACAGCGGTGGGCTGGTGTGGTGTTGTGTCCAGCAGGTCTCCCTGGGTTGCCCACTCCGGCACAGGTTGGATCGCTGGCTGCTCTGTACCTGCCAGACCCCCGCCCACCTACCTGCTGTCACGTGAGCGGCTGGGCCATGGGTGTGCCGGGACAGTTGCCCTGAGACTAAGGGCCAATGGGAGGTCCCAGGTCTGGGGCGGTGGCAGGTGTAGTGAGGATTGGCCTCGGGGTGTGTGCACGCATGGGACGGGCTGTGTTGAAGCCACTGCCTGCCATGTTCAGGAGTTGGTAGGTGCTGGTGAATGATCTCTTCACCGGGCAGGGACTTGCAGAAGGAATCCACAGGGGCATTGGCTGTGGACAGCATTGTGACAGCCAGCTGGGGGAGGTGATGTCGGTCACATGCAGGCCACAGCCCCTTGGGCTGCCTGTTCTCTGCACATCCGTGACTTCTGTAGGGGCACTGCTGGGCAGTGTTGACCACCTTCCCCTGCCTCCTGTCCCGTGGGAACAGGGACTGGAGGAGCTGGGGGTGGCGGGAAGATACCTGAGCGGTTCGGCACAGGGAACCCCTGCCCCATCCAGCTGTGGCACTCGGGTTGCACCGCGTGCTCGCGTGTGTGTAGGCAAGGGACACCTCGGGAAGGCACAGCGCTGGTCTTCGAGGCTGGCAGCTGTGGTCCCTGCATTGCCACAGCCGGTCTGTGACGGTGCCCTGGTCTAACTCGCGCCTGCCACTGTCTTTCACAGAGGGCAGGGTCCAGGTGGCCTGCAGCCCCCGCGAGGGCACGGGAGCTTGGCTGAGGCCCGGCTTGCTTCGAGAGCTGCTTCCCCTGCCAGGCAGCAGGGGCTGGGTCAGGGAACAGGCTCTGGAAAGTGGGGGCAGATTCTAGAAGGCTCTGGAGCTGCACCTGCGTCACCCCCTCAGATCTGGGGTGTGTGTCCTCCGGCTCTCCGGGACCTGCCTGCTCTGAAGACCCCTCGAGGGGCCAGCCCAGCCCTGTGTGGGGCCCACTGTCGCGGTGGAGACTCCGGGCGACCCCCTGCAGCAATCCTGCCCCCTTGGCAGAACACACTGGAGGTGCCCATCACTTGGACCCATCATCCTCGCATCCAGTCTCAGACGCACGAAAACAGTGCCTCGCAGGTGATGGAATTCAGGCCCAGGCCCAGACGTGTGCTCCCTGCACAGGCGCTGAGGGCCTGCAGGGAGACGGGCGGGCTGTGGTGTGGCCTAGGCACAGGCGCGCGCGCACGCACACACACACACACATACACACACACAGAGTTTCATCCCTGCTGGGCCGCAGCCTGTTGGTGCAAGACTTGTGTTTCTTGTTCCGTTGCGCAATCACGGCCCTAACCGGCAAGCTGCGGTCCCGAGGGCGGGCTCACTGGTCTGTGGCTGACCAGGGCCGAGGTGAAGAGCCGCTCCCTGTTCAGGAGATGCAAGCATCTGATTTTACGTGGGATTGGTCACTCGGGCATTCCAAGGGGCGAGGCTGGTGGAAGCTGCTGCCTGTGGACCCAGAGCAGCCCGGGGACGCCAGAGTCCAGCTCTCACCTTTGCAGGTGACACACAGCGTCCTGCTGGAGCCCTGGGGGCACAGCGTGGGCTCAGGCCTGCCCCTCAGAGGCCAGCTCTTGGGAGGGGTGGTTGGTGTTGACGTGAAGCTGTGATGTTTGCTGGCCACTGCGGCTGGGCTGGGGCTCGCTGGGCGTTGGCCACGGCGAGGGAACCCTCCACGGGCCTCCCGCTCCTGTTTGCCCTGGCAGTGTCCCGTCTGTCTCTCCAACACAAAGGCTCAGGCCGCTGGGGCTGGGGGAGAAGCACACCCCCCCGGTGCTGTTCCGCTGCCATCCCGGCCCAGGGTTTCCAAGGCGCCCACTCGGCAGCCTGCAATCCCCACCCACCCCGTGCAGGGCCGCACCTGCGCTTGACCCGCACTGCCAGGCCTCGGATGCAGCGCTGCCCACAGCTTCCTGGTTCTCCAACGGCTCTCTTCATTTGACCTCTTGAACACCTCTTTCCGACGCCTGTCCCAAAGCAGACGGCCGGGCCCCGCAGCGCGCGACGTGAGCGGCCATCTGTCTCGCACCCCGGGGCTCCGCCTGCCCTCGAGTTTGGGGCCTCCACGCAGGGTGTGGACAGGCCTGCGGGTGACCCACCGACTTTGCGTGTTTGTTGGGTGTCGCATGTGTGTGTTAACGTCCTGGAAGGTGTACCTGGACAGGTGTTTGCGAGCAGAGCTGCACTCAGTGCTATCCGGCGCGTGGAGGACGCCGTCCGGGCGCGGGCGTCCGCAGGGAGCGGTGTGCGTCTCACCGCGACACGAAAGCATGCTGTCCAGCTGGGGGCCGGCGCCGGCGCCTGCGCAGCAACAGTCAGGTGCGCCGGTCACGGGGAGGCGGGGGCGGGACCGAGTGCGAAGCGGAGTCTGCGCAGTCCGCGGTCGCGGGGGCGGGGCAGGAGGCGGAGCGAGCCTGAAGGACGTGCCTCCAGCCAGTGAACGCAGCCATCGCGTGGGGGCGTGGCCGGGCCGCCGCGCGCCAGGTCGCGGTTGGCCAGAGGGCGGCGGGGGTGGGCACGGCGAGCTCGGCTCCGCCCGCGCCGGGTGGCTGCGGCGGCGGCGGCGGCGGCGGCGGCTGAGGCGGCGGCGGCGGCGGCCCCCCTCAGGTAGGCGGTGAGCTGAGCTGCGCCTTCCGCGGCGCGGGGGACGCGTCTGTGAGGAAGCCTGGGCGGGAGGGCCCGGCGCCCGCCCCGGCCGAGTGTGCCCCGCGCCCCGCTGTCCCGACCCCGCCGCGTCCCACCCGGAAGAGACCCGCGCGGCGCGGCCGTCCGCGTCCCTGGCCCCGTGCTGCGCCACGGGGTCCCGAGGGCCTGGCTGGGGAGCCGCGCCCACGCCGTGCTCTCCCCGCGTTGCGCGGCGGGGCCGCCGCGAGGGGCGCGGGCAGGGTCCGCGCACAGCCGGCCGGCTCGGAGTTCGGCTCCCGCTCGTCCTGCAGTGTCCGCGTAGCTGTCGTGCGGGGCCCGGCTGGAGGAGAGCGCTCCGTTCTCCCCACTCGCTGGACGGACCCCAAACTCACGTGCAACGAGGTCTGCGCACAGGGCTTGCAGGAGGGGCAGAGGGCACTGGGTCGGGGACCTGGGCGTGTGACCCTGGAGGCAGGTGGCCCCGCGCACCGTGGTGTAGCAGAGGGACGAGGTGTGCGAAGGGCGGGAGCTTCGTCGAGGACTGTTGGGTCTGAGTGGTGGTGACCATCCGGAGGGGGATGCTCGGAGCGCCTGGGCTCTCTGGGAGCCACTGGCTGTGACTGGCTCCCCGGTCGGCCCTGTTGGCCGGGGGGCTGTGTTCTGGGCTGGGTGGGCCCACGGCTCCGTCTCTGGGTTCCAGAGAGGCCCAGGTGGTCAGCAGTCCCAGGCCGCCGACCCCTCTCCCAGGCTGAGCTGCCCGGGGTGAAAGGCGTCGTCTCTCAGCACGACTCACACGGCTCCATCGCCTGCGCTTCTCCCAGGAGCCCCTGGCCAGTGCTCGGAGAATGCTGGCTGCTGGACCTCATGCAAACCTGCTTGTAAACGGCTGGAGGAGCTCCTTGTGCGCGGCTTTGCAGCCTGATTTCGCCAGAGGAGGCGCGGTCTCGGGCCAGTGGGCAGCGAGCAGCAGGCCTGGTTTCCTGGGTCACCAGCCCACATTTTTCTGGGGACTCCGGAAGCTGATTTTCTCTGGCTCGTGGAGCAGCTGGGAGAGTCCCTTGTGCTCTGTGTGTGGGTGACCCCCCCCCCCCCCGGCATACACTGGACCCTCCAGGCTGCCCGTCAGTGCCTCTAGGCCTGGTGCTTGGCCCACCCCGCTTCCCACACCCACCTAACCCCTTCGGGCTCAGTGCAGGCTGTAACACTTGCCTCAGAGAGCCTCACGCAGGGACGGTGGGCCTGGGACGTCTGGAGGGCATTTCCTAGCTGCGGAACAAGGAGGCAGCAGCTTCTCTGTTCGGGTAACGTGAGTTCTGTCTACTACCACCTTCTCCCGTTAGGTTTTCTTTTTTTAATTTAACCGGATCCTGACTTGTTCTTGGGCTGTTTCCTCTAGTACCACGTTCATTATTTTCTGTGCACCACTGGTGTGGACAGGGGCAGGAAGTGGAGGTTGGCTTATTCGGGCTCCAGGTAGCTGCTCCCCAAGCCCCAGCGCCAGCACCCAGCACCCAGCACCAGGCAGCTGTGTCTGAGGCGCAAAGCTTGGCTGCCCGGCCCTGCCCTGAGTCACAGCGTGGGGCTGGAGGTGCTGAGTCACGTTTATAGACGCTGGAGCGGGAGGTGCCACACCTGCTCCAGGCTGTGCAGGAGCACACGCTGGGGGCCGCTGGGCATCTGGCTCTGGCACTCAGTCCCTGTGACCTCTGGGCCTCATCACCCTTGACTCTGGAGAGGCAGGAGACCGTACCTGCTCATCCTGAGGGCTGGCCAGCACAGCCATCTTGTGTCTGTGAGAATTCATGTGCGACCTTTGTCCTCCTTCTTTGTCTTACTTGCACATTAATATTACGCAAGTTAGCCTATTGTCATATTGTAACTTGCCCTTGTGGTGTCTTTTTCTTCTATAGTTATTTAATTTATGTCAGGGGAACACATCTCACGTGTTTCCTAGATACAGATTGAGGAGCATTAGTGATACTTCCCTCCTGCCCATGCTCCCACCCTCTTTCCTCCCTTATTCTTTCTTATCATTTAAAACACGATTTATTGGCCGGCGCCGCGGCTCACTAGGCTAATCCTCCGCCTAGCGGCGCCGGCACACCGGGTTCTAGTCCCGGTCGGGGCGCTGGATTCTGTCCCGGTTGCCCCTCTTCCAGGCCAGCCCTCTGCTGTGGCCAGGGAGTGCAGTGGAGGATGGCCCAAGTGCTTGGGTCCTGCACCCCATGGGAGACCAGGAAAAGCACCTGGCTCCTGGCTCCTGCCATCGGATCAGCGCGGTGCGCCGGCCGCAGCGCGCCGGCCGCGGCGGCCATTGGAGGGTGAACCAACGGCAAAGGAAGACCTTTCTCTCTGTCTCTCTCTCTCTCTCACTGTCCACTCTGCCTGTCAAAAAAAAAAAAAAAACCACGATTTATTTATTTGTTTGAAAGAATTGCAGAGAGGCAGAGAGAGAGGTCTTCCATCTGCTGGTTCACTCCCTAGTTGGCTGCAGGGGTTGGCATGGTGCCAATCTGAAGACAGGAGCCAGGAGCTTCTTCCGTGTCTTCCTCGTGGGTGCAGGGGCCCAAGCACTTGGCCATCTTCTACTGCTTTCCTAGGCCATAGCAGGGAGCTGGATCAGAAGTGGAGCAGCCGGGACTCAAACCAATGCCCATATGGGATGCCGGCACTGCAGGCGGTGGGTTTACCTGCTATGCCACAGAGCTGGCCACTCTTTCTTATAATTTTTATAATGACATATTTTATTTGATAGTCATAAGCTTAACCCTCCACTAAATAAAGAGTTCAACAAATAGTAAGAAGGAAAAAAAAATAAAAACCACTGTTCTTCAACAGTAGAGACAAGGGCTGTAAACAATCATTGAATCTCAGAATGTCAATATGTGTTATTTTTTTGTACTCTGTTACAACAAATCAGGGAAAACATGATATTTATTTGGGGGCTGGTATAAACCACTAAGTACAATCGTTTCCAGTTGCATCCATTTTGTTGTAAAAGACAGGACATCATTATGTTTTATGGCTGAGTAGTATTCCATTGTGTGTTTGTATCAGTTTCTTTATCCAGTCATTGGTTGGTGGACATCTGAGTCGATTCCTTATCTGAGCTATTTTGAATTCAGCTGCAGTAAACTTGGGGGAACAGATCACTCTTTCATACGCATCATGATTTCCTTTCGTCTGGGTAAATTCCCAGGAGTGGGTGGCTGGGTCATACGGTACCTCTGTTTTCAGATTTCTGAGGAGTGTCCACACTGTCTTCCACAGTGGTTGCACCAGTTTACATTCCCACCAACAGTGGATTAGTGCACCTTTTCCCCCACATCCTCGCCAGCATTTGTTGTTTGTTGATTTCTGTATGAGAGCCATTCTAACTGGGGTGAGGTGGAACCTCATTGTTTTGTGTTGCACTTCCTTCGATGGCTAGTGATCCTGAACATTTTTTCATGTGTCTGTTGGCCATTTGAATTTCATCTTTTGAAAAATGTCTGTTCAAGTCCTTTGACAATTGCTTAACTAGATTATTTCTGTTGTTGTTGTTGTATTTCTTGAATTCTTTGTAGGTTGTGGATATTAATCCTTTATCAGTTGCATGGTTTGCAAATATGTTCTCTCATTCTGTCGGTTGCCTCTTCACCTTGTTGAGTGTTTCCTTTGCAGTGCAGAAGTTTCTCAGCTTAATGTAATTCCACTTGTCAATTTTGGGTTTGATTGCCTGTGCTTCTGGAGTCTTTTCCAAGAAGTCTTTGCCTATGCCAATGTCTTTTTTTTTAAAGATTTATTTATTTATCAGGGAGAAAGTTCTTCCATCCACTGGTTCACTCCCCAAATGGCTGCAGTGGCCAGAGCTGGGCCAATCCAGAGCCAGGAGCTTCTTATGGTTCTCCCATATGGGTGCAGGGCCCAAGCACTTGGGCCATTTTCCACTGTTTTCCCAGGCCATCAGCAGGGAGCTGGATTGGAAATGGAACAGCTGGGACTTGAACTGGAGCCCGTGTGGGTTGCCGGTGTCTCAGGTGGAGGCTTACCTTACCACAGTGGTGGACCCTAAAAGTAGAGCACTGGGACTTGAGCCAGCGCTGGTATGGGACACTGGCATCTCATGCAGTGGTTTAACCTGCCGTGCCACAATGCCAGCTATGCCAATGTCTTGCAGAGTTCCCCCAATATTCTCCTCTAGTAATTTGATTGTATCAGGTCATCGATTTAGATCCTTGATCCATTGTGAGTTGATTTTTGTATAAAGTGTAAGGTGGGGGTCCTGTTTCATACTTCTGCCTACAGAGACCCAGTTTTCCCAGCATCACTTGTTGAAGAGACCGTCCTTGCTCCAAGGATTGGTTGAGCTCTTTGTCAAAGATAAGTTAGTTATAGATGCCTGGATTGATTTGTGCAGTTTCTTTTCTGTTCTGTTGGTCTACATGTCTGCTTTTGTGTCAGTAACAGGAAGATTTTTCCATTTTTTTCTGTGTCTCTTTTAATGTTTTCTTTTTTTTTTTAATTTTTTTTTTTTTTGACAGGCAGAGTGGACAGTGAGAGAGAGAGACAGAGAGAAAGGTCTTCCTTTTGCCGTTGGTTCACCCTCCAATGGCCACCGCAGTTGGCGCGCTGCGGCCAGCGCACCGCGCTGATCCGCTGATCCGATGGCAGGAGCCAGGAGCCAGGTGCTTCTCCTGGTCTCCCATGGGGTGCAGGGCCCAAACACCTGGGCCATCCTCCACTGTGCTCCCTGGCCACAGCAGAGAGCTGGCCTGGAAGAGGGGCAACCGGAACAGAATCCGGCACCCTGACCGGGACTAGAACCTGATGTGCCAGCGCCGCAAGGCGGAGAGGATTAGCCTAGTGAGCCGCGGCACCGGCTTTTTTAATGTTTTCATTGTAGACATTGTTCACCTCCTTAGTTACATTGATTTCCAAGTATTTAAAAACTTTTATAGCTATTGTGATATTACAAGTTCTTTCTCAGCCATGGCATTGTCTTTGTATACAAAGGCCATTGATTTTTGTGTGTTGATTTTATATCCTGCATCTTTACCCAGCTCTTCTTTGAGTTCCAGTAGTCTCTTAGTGGAGTCTTTCGGTTCCCCTATGTATAGAATCATGTCATCTACAAACAGGGATAGTTTGACTTTCTCCTTTCCAATTTGTATCCCTTTGATGTCTTTTTCTTGCCTAATGGCTTTGGCTGAAACTTCCAGAACTGTATTGAATAGCAGTGGTGAAAGTGGGCATCTTTGGTTCTGGATCTTAGTGGAAATGCTTCCAGCTTTACCCCATTCAGTATGATGCTGGCTGTGGGTTGTTATATAGTGCCTTCATTGTATTGAGGATTGTTCTTTCTATACCCAATTTGCTTAAGAGTTTTTATCATGAAAGGATGTTTTAGTTTATCAATGCTA